GATGATGCAGTTGGATATTTGGCAAGCACTTGTTAATAAATGTAGAATAGTATAACTCCTGCAAATCAATAACTTGTTTTCTGGGGTGTTACATTGTTTTACCCTGTTGATAATAAACACTTGTCGAAATAAAATTATATCCTCTAAATATTAGTTTACACACATTTTACATTGTATAGCATTTTGCCAAATTATTTTGCCGCGCCCACAGGCGCGGAGCTATTTGTGTTTACTTTTTTGTGTCCATGGACCCGATTTTTATCAATTAATCACTTCGATTTACAGCTAAAATAAATTCGGAATCAATAATTTGTTCCGATTTCTATTATATAAAGTCATATATTTGTATCATTAAAAAAAAGACGTAAAAATTGAGTTTTCTCACCAATGCGCGCACTATACACAAAAAAATGGCAAATTATCTATTTAAGCTTTCATATTGTCTACGCTTTCCCTTTCCTTGTTTTCGAATTAGTCTATTCTAGTATTTCAACAATAGGGTTTACCTTCACACATTTCCATTTATAATCTTTTTTCCCGCTTATTTTCATATTTTGTCTACAGATTATTGTTTGCAGATATCTTTTTTGATTAAAGTGACATTTTAATATACTGCACAACAGCAGTTGTCAAGTGGGTATGGCATCTGTAAAATGTTGCCCCGTACATGACTTCAGAGTTGTTATATTTTTCTAGTCCTTTGGGATCATTGATGCCAGCACTATTAAGTGATGAGAATTGAGTACCACTCCAGTTACCGCCTCCGTGGTCGAGGGGTTAGAGTCGATGACTTCTAATCCAGTTACCTCTCTGGCGTGGGTTCGATCCCCGGGAGATGCTTTGGTAGTTTAGCGCGGAGGAAGGTAGTCTAGTACTGGTGTAACTCTCCAGGAACGATGGTTAGGAAACTACCCGCCTATATGACTTAAATACTGTTGAAAAAGGCGTAAAATGAAACAAACAAACAAACAAACAAAACCACTCCAGTCGGTGCTTTGAGGCGTGAGGGATGTTGCACTTATTCATTATCCCTCATGTACAACCTCAATTAAACCGAGTCTGCAATTTTCATGTCATTTTGTAGTGATATATGCTTCCGAGGTATCACTTTCTTTCCAGATTTTTATGCCAATCCAAGGATAAATGGTGAGTATTCAGTTAAAATTAAGATAACTTAACATCTTATCAGATTTGTTTTCAATTTTATAATAAACGTCACCAGGCTAATCAATAACTTCTTTGAAATACATACATTTCTATAAATATATCTTACCAAAAAAAAATTGCTTATATTCAATTTATAAAAAGAGTTTAGCAGTTTTTATTTGTTTTTTATATATATCTAATCCTAAACATTTGTGATTATCAATTTTTGTATAAAATTAATCTTTTGAAATATACCACTAATTTGTCTCAGATTGAAAGTGAAAAATGAGCATTATATGACTTTTATGACCACGTTTATCAAGGGAACTCATTATTGTATACATTTATAAGTGCATTTATTGTTTTTATTACTTTTATCGTTAATGATAAAATATTTCTGATCTTCTTAAGGAATTAAATGATTATCCACCGGATTAAAAATGGTAATTATGGCATGAAAATTCATTGATTTACACATTAAATATGCAAAATGCGATTAAAAAAAAACTTGTCCTGTTCGTGTTCATAAAGGGACTCATTTGCAACAATTATTTCTTTTGCATTCTTGCAATTAGTGCATTAATTTATTACATTTGTATTGAAGTCGAAATTCTTCAAAATTCTCCTGTATTACAACTATAAATATCTGGAAAACAGAATCCAGAAAGAAAGCCTAACACAGCACAATTGAAAATGTTGCAGGCTCTGTTAGATAAAGCCTGATGGACGGTACTGGAAAGTGCAAATTACCATTCACGCTCCATAGCACCGGCTTGAGCAGAATTCAACATTTGAACAAAAACAAAGTGAAATTATGAATTTAGAAACATCCGCAGATTTGTTATTGTGCCCATTGTACGGAATGCAAAATGAATTAATGCAAAATGAATTATTTTTGCCTTCAATTTTAAGCTTTATATGTTATGCAATTGATTATATTGTAAACAAATTTCGAACGTTATTGATGCATTTTTACATTATGTATTATGTTTTAAACATGCAAGGCTCATATTATATAAATTATACATAGATATTTTCCAATGAAAATAAATTTCTTGCAAAAGCATTGTTGACCAACATATTAAATTGCTTTTAGTATCTTATAGAAAACAGCAAGTTGCATCCACATACATTATTTCATATTTCAATACACAAAGATACCAGTGATTGTTTCCTGTATTTTAAAGCCGAATAAAGGTTGTTTCCCTTAGCGTCAAGTATGGGACAGCTGATACCTGTAACAGAATTTCTCGTTACAGTCATTACAAGAGTACCCTGTAGGGCCCAGTGTATCGATTGCATGAACATTTCTCTTCAGAGCATTTTTTGTAGCAAAGTTTGATGTACACTTACTTAACATTTTTAACGCCACATGCTTGTCGCATCTAAAACATATAATGAAATTAAATTCATGAATGATATTATAGTAGGGACTAAGAAAGAGTAAAATATTACAATCAAAATGAAAAACGCCATGTTTTGATTTGTGAGTCTTGAATGAAGTTTGAGGTGCAGTTTCTAATTCAGGTCTGAATACATCACGTTTGCATCCATTTATGTATCGGTTTTATACGAAAATATATCACGTCTCATATGTCATTTCTTTGTAAATCATTGACAAAATAGAAATTGATTTTACAGAGATAAAAAGTGATTTAATAGTATCAGGTTAAGATTTTGATATATTTCACAAAGTTATTTACAGATACTTGATGTTTATATTTGATGCATTTTCAAAATGACGCCGTTTATCTGCAACTATTCTGAAAAAGCAATCTATGTTTTCAACAGATCATGGCTTTTAAAACATTATTTTCTGAAATATTTATTTTTTTTGTCTAAAGTTTAAAGATTGTTGAAGAACATCATGTTGTTATAATTTTAATTTTTGCTCTTGTATTTTATTTTCGCCCTTTTTTCGAACACCTACATGATGTGCATATAGTAAACTATGCCTAGTTATACCGATACACTTTTATTTGTAGCAAGAAAGGTTTACATAGCACGTTTCCAGACCATTCTATTTGAAAGAACCTGCACTAAAGACCCGCCCACAGCAACGGTAAGGGCGTATAAGTTGGGTGGTTCCATGAAATATTCCTACTTGAATAATCTTAATTCAACCTTAGGATATGTTGCCTGCTTTTCAAGTCTTTTGACGTCTAATCTGCGATATACAGGATTCATAACCTCTGTTCTCCTATCAAAGTTCTATTTTTACCCGATGTATGTGTTTCTAAACAAACCTGTTGTGTGTCAGAAAGTGAACTCAGTTTCTAACAAAAACATCTACTCAGTCGGGTTAATTGATTAATTTTTATAAATACTTGATTGATATGCAAAAATATGTAAATATTAAAACATTATAATAGCAATGTAACACATCAAAAATCATATAATATATTAGACACTTATTGAACATCATAAACTAAGGGTACCTGATATGATCTGATATTACCCTCATTATTTTGGACAAAATTTAAAACTCAGATCGTGTTTAAAATAAACTCAGTAAGTTCGCATTTCTTAATAAACTGTTCACTATAAAATGTAATGAGATTTGAAATGTACATTTTATTTTAGGACTATCCTTTACATTTTTCTTAATAATGGCGAGAACTATCTTTATATTGAAACGTACCCGGGGTCTGCTAGCCCGGACACACTTCAATATCGACACGTGGGTTCTTCTCAAAAGGGAAAATAGGGACACAAGGACTAAAAGATACGGACACCTGAAATAAGATTAACACAACAATTTATTAAATATACATTTCACAAACAATAAAATTGGTATATAGTATATTCTTTGGATGGCTCTGGCTTGGGCTCCTCGTCTTAGGTCAGGAATATTCTTCTGTTACGTCTAGAATAATGTATAATATAAGATGTAATGAAAGGCTTGACAAATACGGTGTCACGTCTTGCCTGTGGTCTGGTACAAATTCTATGGTAGGAATTACCATGAAATGCTATAAGGTTGATGGGGTATCTAAAATGGTAACTACAAAATACAGTGGTGTTCTACCCTGGTATATGGGTATCACTATAAAATATGGGATTATGGCTATGGAAACTTGGTCTTCAGTCAGGATCTATCATAAATGGAAAATAATGCCAAACTGCCAAACTAGATGATTTAATATAAAGCTTCTATATGAACTATTACTGGCACAAAGTATTATATACCTTTCTGGTGGCTGGAGATACATCCATATTCAATATAGTATAGGTGTGGTCTGGTGGCTATCTACCAAGGTACTGACAATTTTGGCAGATTCGGGCTGCTATTTATAGTCTGGGACGCTGGGTGGCTAGCTTGGCTAGGGTGCCTAGCTTGGCAGTATCGTCATCGTCTCCGATGACGTCACTGCCTAGCTCGCGCGGGCAGAAATTTAGCCAGCACCAGCTGCCTTGTTTAAATTGGCAGCGTGTGGCTAATTGATCATAAAAACGGCTACAACGTAGAATATAAGTTATTTTAAGTAATATAACCATCGTAAATATTAAAAGGATGAAGTTATCTATGCATGCAGTGTATTTATTGATGATTAAAAGTCGATGTCATGAAGTAGAGTTAATTACTTCAGTACTTGAGTAGTTTCCGGATACGGGATACGGGTTTATTTTCGGACGTAAAATGATGGGCTTGATCGTTACAATATTTCATTTTAGAACTATCCTTAACATTTTATGGCCAATGAGATTCCCAGATTTCATATTGTAATTTAAAAATGACCACTAAAAACTCTTCTTTTATTCAGTTCTTTCCTTTAAATTTATCAGGAAGTCCAACTGAAATCAGACCGGCATTCGACCGAAACAACACAAGAAATAACAACAAACAATCCAAATAGCTTTATAACTGTTAGCCCGTTTAATTCTTCTAAACTCATTTTTTTTCCAATAAATTACTTAAAGGAACTAAAAATGAAGATCTACAAAAATTCAGTCTTTTCAAGTTTTCATTTTAAAGATTGATATTTTAATATCTATCGAATATCTTTCACCTCTTTAGGGTCAAGACAGGGTTTAGAATTAAAGGCCCATTTCTTCATATCTTTAATAGACTTTTCATATTTCTTTTGAAAATTCATTCTGTAGCAAATGTCACATAATGCTCTTTGGTAAACTGGCTTATATCCAGTGGAATAATACTGGTTCTTTCTCTTTAACATTTGTGCTATGTCAGCAACTGTAAGGCTTTTCAGATACATAGCCAGGTCTTTTACCGACTTGAAATCATCCGTAGAGATATAAGATCCTTCTGGAAAATGTAGTTTAGCATCCCCAGGAAGACCACCACGTGTTATCATGATTGTGTTGTAATTGTAGTTTTCGAAAAACTTTTCTGTGAAATAATCATGACAGAAAGCGTTCTCAAATGCTAAATAGAATAAATACGATTTGTTCAAAATTTGAAAACAATCGTCATCATGTCGGAAATGTTTACCGCAATTCCATTTCTTCCCGCCACAAAGACCTAATATGGTTAAATTAATATGTTTATTGAGCTCTTTGACATACTCCTGTCGTTTAGCTGTTGTCGTGCAGTGTGACGCTATCATCAGAGGCGTAGGGGTCTTGTTACTAGCTATTGCCTCGTAATCTAGTTGAACGTCCACAGTACGTTTTCTTATTTCTCCGTATGGAAGATAGATATCGGTGTTATCTTTGTTATAAGTCATTGTCCAATTAAAGGCGTAATTATTTTTGTACCACCAATTACTTCCCATGTGATACAATTGTGGAGATTCATGGGCAGCAAATATCCAAACTTGTCCATTTGGTCGCGTAAAGTTTAGTTTCTTCGGAATGAAAATTCCATCATAAATTACAGCATCACTTCTAACGGCATCATTTTTATTCAATGTCAGTTCACAGTTATTCCATTCACATTTCTTAAAATCACATGCCATAGCATATTTTCGGTTAACTGATATAAAAGGTGACGGATTGTAATAAAGAACTAAATATTTCTTTTTGCTAAAAGGCGGTGCTTGTGAGGGTACTGCTGAGGTATGATTTTCTATCTGAAATTAATGAATAAATATGATCATTATATGCATTTTCAGTAAAATTCAAAACGATATAGTGCGGGTAGACTTTACATATAATATGCAACACCAAAAAATGCAAATTTATGATTTAAAGATACAAGACACTTCTGTGTCAAAAGATATACATATAATTTAAGTATATTTTCTTAGGAAAAATGTTGATTATTGAATGATAAAATTATTAATATCAATTTGTTTTCTAAATAACTCTTTATCTCACTTATTTCATATTTTTGACAATGTTAACCTTAAAGCTGCACGCCTCCAGATGAGCAAAAATATTCTAATAAAACCAAACCTGAGAAAAAAGAACTAAGATTTTAGGAAAAGTACAAAAATTTAAAATTAAAATTTTTAGCAATAACTTACATGTTTTGTGTATGATAAATGATCTATAAATGCGTTACTAACGCAGTAAGGTTAATTTTGCATATTTGACCTCTTTATGGTAATTTACGTGGGTTATTAGTGCCATTGATAATGTATAAATTGCATTATTTTGATAACTCCACAATATTATACTGTTAAATATATTTCCAAATTTTCATTAAAATAAAATGAATCTTGAGGCGTGCTGCTTTAACAATTTAGACAAAAGTTGTTATACCACGTTTTCGAATCTTTTCTTGATCTTTCCCCCAACATATTCACGGGACATTTCAAGGTACAGCAGGACTGATAGAGCCAAGGATATCACAATCACTAAAAGATTAAAAAAGGTATTATTATACTTGTAACATACAAAAGGAAGGTGCATGTCTATATTTAGTGGTAGTTAAACAATTTGCATTTGATTGAACAAAATGTACATTCAAAGGTTCAGCTATAATCATTCTTACTTTTTTATTTTTTTTTTATTTTCTTTATTATTATTCTTTTTATTTCTTTCTTGCAAAAAAATGAAGTTTCAACAAGAAGATCTGCGGAAAGAAGAAGTAATACCCCGAGAGGATTGAAAGAAAATCCAACATATCAAAAAGTTCAAATTAGAAAACTTGGTTATATTGTATCCCGTTTAACATAATGAAAAATAATCATCTCTCGTATCTTCTAGCATCGTAAAATAGAAAAATTGACTATCTAAAGAACGCCCAAAACGACAATATTAAAAATGTTACAAATTCGGTTTGATTTAGCCTGTAAAAGGACGGTACTTATTTCAAGTGCAAGTTACTGTCCACGCCCCATTCGACTCTAGCTAAGTTCAACATTAAACATGAAAACAATGGTGAAATTTCGTATTAAAAAAAACAACATTCGCAAATGTTTTATACGTGGTTATCTTAAATTTGCGATATTACTTTTTCGTGCCATTTTTTGAAAAGCGGCGTATGGTTCCGAAGTGGAAGAAAACTTGTGCCCAAGACTAGAAAACAAACGGGGGAAGTAATGCACACTTACCCCTAACCACTAGAAATATATTAATTAATGATCCTCAAAGATCAGAAAATAACTTTATCAAACATTTTGAGATTCACTTTTATCTAAAGATTGTTGAACGTATGCTTAAATTGCTACTGTATGTATATGTATTTTTATAAAGCTCTTAAATATTTAAACATGTCATATATTATATTAATCACTAATGAACAAACATATTTAACTCATAAGTGTAAAATATATACAAATTTTACTTCAGCAAAAATAATTGTTTTTCTTCTTTGTTTTTGAATGGATGCGTAACCTCTCCTCGAACAAACTCGTATTGTAAGAAAATATCTGTGCTATTTTGTGGTGTAACATGGTTTCAAAACGAAGATGATAGCTATATTTTAGTAAAGAGGATCTTATCCCTTAGTTTAAACTTATTCTATTTACATGTTTTACATATCAAATATCATACAAATGATGAGAAATATAACAAAAGGCAAACGTGTTGGGCAATAAGTTCTAGCAACCTTCAATTGTGCCCTTCCCAAAACTAAGAATTATCGGAACAAATACTTTTAGGGCAAGAAAGATTTAATCCCTGTAATGTATTGTGCGTGCAAAAATATTGGAAATTAGAATGGCTGTATAATCCGAAATTTGATATGACATCTATAAAGATTTTCCAACTGAAAACTGACTCGCTCTCTACCATGCATACGATGTTTTTTTAAGTTTACAAATCTCTGAATAAACTAAGGCATATATAAATAAATGTTTTTAGATTATTACAAAATCAAAGGATCAGCTTTAAAGACAATACTTAAATTGTTTCCAAAATCGTTTTCTCTTTTTAAATAGACTTCATAGAACGCCGCCTTACCTTGTTGAACTTGTCTATCATATTTTACAGACGATTATCTAAACAAAACTATGCAATTGATGTTGGTTATTGTTTAATATATTCTCGTTTTTTTTTTAACATAACCAAATCATTTAAGATGGCATTTTTAACAGCTAACGTACATGGACTGAAATTTTATCAACTAAAACAGCTTCATAATAGGATCAAATACAACAGATATAAAACAAACACAGAAAAAACATCATTAAAAACAAAACAAAAACATTTATGAAAATCTTAAACCCTCATAATGGTGTAACTTAGAATGACTCATTTCTTGCTAGTCAATAACTAATTATCTGATACTAAAGAAAATAAAAAAAGAAGCGTTTATTTAACTTTTGGATGGGTGTTTAATTTGTAAGTAAAGAAATTTAAAATGCAGGCTTTGAGAAAAAATTTGTCAATACAAATCAACATAAAAGTGTTTTTTCCAAGACATTTTCAGAAATAATTACTGCTCATTGTCCAATATATTACAGTACGATAACATGTTAATATGTACACGTACTAGTTTATGTGAACGTTTAAGGATTTAACCGTTTTAAAATCTAATAAATCAGGAAGTAAAAAAAAGGGATAAATAGCTGGTTCTCTTTCAAAGGTACTTCACAAGAGACAAAATGAACTTACCTTTCTTTTCTGCATACAAACACACTTTCATGATGTTGTCCTGCTTATTAAGTATGTCGCAACTTCCTTCTAAACTGAACCTTCTAAAATCAAAAACAACAGTCAACCAACTGTCGCATCTACAAAAAGTGGCAAAAATAAACGCTTTCGTGAATTATCAAAATATATTTTCGCAAAATAATGTGAAATAATTCAGTTAAATATCCTTAACATATTTCGCGTAATCTAACACTGAATAAATTAATCCTTCATTCCTTACAGAATTTAAGATCATTTATATATTTATATTTATATAGCAATTTAATTTGTTTGCTTTTTTTTTTACAAATCTTACTAACCGTTGATAGCTTAGCCATCAATGTTGCTACGTTTTTGGTGGTACTAAAACGTGACTACATTTGATTAACCATGAAAATATCGTCATTATGCAAAGGAGGTAAGGAATAAATGTGTGTCTTACGTACAACACCACACCTTAATGTTCGGTACGTGTGTATTTTAAATGTTTTTATTTGGAAATAACACTAAATAACGCAGATTTGTTCACTATTATACAGTTAAAATACGTCTTTATCAAAACTTAGAACACCTGTTTTAAGACAATTAGAATTAAGTGCAATTTCTATTTAAAAAAAATACAACAAGAAAATAAGTACAGAAAGTTTAAATAGGAATATAGAAAACTTAAGAAATATTACGAATAGGGAACAATAATTTATATATTCATATAACAATAAATCCTGTAAAAAATAACAATCAGAATTTACATCTATGGCTTAATATCATGCGCATGAAATTAATAGGCATTTTTGATAATTTTGTCAAACATTGTTGCTTCTTTGATAAAGGTCTTCCAAAATTGACATTTTCTATAAAATGTAATGCATACTAAGGAAAAACACACTAATGAACATTTTACGTCAAACATAATTTTAAACTTATTAAAAATATAAGGTTGTGAAAAGATTTAATATGTGATTCATATCACTGGGAATACTGTGTAGCAAATCATGACAACAGCAGATATAGTTGAAAAGATGCAATAAAAAATGGATAAAACCAGCAAGGTAAACAGTTAGATACAAAAAAGACAAACGTGTTTAAGAGAAGATACAGCTAAACCTATAACCAAAGAAAAGGAACGTAAAGTTATTTAAAAGCATTAAAGGGGATACAGGTAGGCTTCAAAAACTAAATCTGTGGGATAATACGTTTAAATTGAAGTATTTAAAAAGATAATTTTGTAAGACAAAAGTATCAAAAAGGGATAATACAGGTATAAAAACTTATTTGAATGGATCAAAACAGGCAATACATTAAAAGGGAAATTCAAAGGTAAGATTGTTAAAATGTTGAATTCGATGAAAAGCTACTTCTGTAGAACGAATTAAATATTTATGGTGAACAGTACACTCTCTTTTTATCTTGTGCTCTTGATGCCTTAAAAACCACTCTTTGCAGTCAGGCGTTCGAAATAGAAATTAACATTTTGAAAGCAGAACCAATCCCCCAAGTACTGTTTTATAGATAGATTTTTTTGGTCAGAAATCACTTTAAAAAGTTGTAATTAGTTATTAAAGTATGAACTTGTGGTTTTTTGTGTTTGTTGTTGTTTTGTGTTTGTTGTTGTTGTTGTTTTTTTTCAATGTTCACCCTTTGTTAAAATTTCTGGAAAGTGGAGTCAATGTTAAAAAGTTAATAATAATGTGATTTTATTTAGCCAATCAACACAGATCTTGTAAGTTGCTTAATCTCTTAATCTCCAAAGACCGACCGAAGTAAAAGAAAATCATTTATAACACCTAAAACAATAGAAATAATGACCGTGGTGCACTAGATATCTATAAAAATAAGATAAAATAGGTATATGACAACTTTATACAGCTACCACAAAACACTTACCACCTGCTGTTGCGTATAAGATATCTTTAAGCTGGAAAATTTATAATTAAAAACAAAATAAATTTCAATGAAGATTTGCAGAATCTACAATATGTTTTACCTGCCAACTCAGAAGTAAGCATTCTAAAGGGCCTTTGTGGCAGAATGTTTAAGAACGTAGATTTCAATCCGACTGACCCTCCTCGCTGCAGGTTCAAATCATTCCAGGGACTTTGGAATGTTTATGTGAGTTAACATACAGAAGGCCACCTAATTTACAGTGGTCAGTTGTTCTACTCTCTTAAATAATAAATTGTGTGACCTGATGTCTTGTTTAAGTCATTGAGAACATATATCCAAGGAAATAAGTTTGGGGAATCACGTGAAATAGTGCTCAACTACTCATGTTTTTGAAAAAAACTTTTATATGTAACATCTTTTTTATTGAGTCTTATATGTTTTGTTTTTTATTATCAAATGTGTTTATATTGTTTTAGCCATCTTACAGACATAAAACCAAGAGTGCAATTTTATATTATATTGTTGCTTTATTGCTCCCGAGGAATCACCTCTTTTTCAAGATTGGTATTTATTGTTACTCGCTCAATGTTTCTATAATACACATTATATAACGAAATAATAACTATTACTGACCAACATTAATTACGAAAGGATAGGTTTGCTATAATATAAAAGAGTTATATTAGAGCAAAGAGAAATTATAAGAAAATAATGCTAGAAAAAAGATCACGAGGAAGGTCGATGGAGGACGGGAAAGGAGATCAGCTGGGAACCGAACAAAAAACAGAAATGGGACACAAGGGTTAAGAAAGGACGGTCGATTTTATTAAAAATTCAAGAACATAAATAAAAGCATGGAAAGTTTATATCAAGTTTATTGTCCCACAAGAGGACAGATTCATTGTTGACTTTTATAATCCACACATGAAGCCGTCTGTACGTATAAAATTGTGGTCATTAGGTTTTAAAGCTACATGCCTTCAGATGAGCCGAATTATGTTTTAAAAATCAAATTTGAGAAACATGTACTAAGATTTAAGGAAATGTAATAAGATTGATTTAAGTAATTATTCATATGTAATTTGCGGTTAATGAGTGATTTTTTTCAGTGTTTACCACTATTTTTCTACTGCGTTACTAACGCGTTATTTTTGCATATTTTGACCTGTTGTGGTAGTTTATGTATATAACAAGTGTTATTTATAAGTCTTGATTGATTTAAGAAAATGCAAACAAAAACGGGGAAATCAAACATTAAAATTGGCAATCAGACAGCATGCAACTAACTATTAAAGGACCTTATCTAAAGACTGAAGTCCCTCAGTCGTTTACATAATACGACATTTCACTAGAACATAGTGGTTTAAGTTCATCTCTGAAAAAAAAACATTTCCAAGAAAAGGTAGGCAGTAACTTGTGTAAAACTGTTTGTAAACTTGCAGTTAATCATGTCCATCTTAGGCAATAAATATCTTAATGGTGGAATAAGGGGATGCATTGTTATACGAGTATAGTGCTAGTTTGGCTAGCTTAAGATATCATCCACTTAATATATACATTAATCTTAAATCCATTGTTATTATATTGCTAAGGTCGATACCAATATTCTTAGATGGCAAACTTCGATTTGTATTTTTTTTTTACTGAACTGGGTCATAATTGTTCTCTGTGTGACGTACATAACAACTGTCGTTGACTTCAAACCACTTGCCCCTCACCGCTGTGGGTTCGAATCCCGACAGGGACTTTGGATTCTTTCATGTGAGGAAGCTATCCAGCTAGCTTACGGAACGTCGGTGGTTCTACTCAGGTGCCCGTTCGTGCCTGAAATAATGCACGGAGGGGCACCTGAGGTCTTCCTCCACCAGTAAAGCTGGAACGTCGCGATATGACCTATACTGTGTCGATGTGACGTAAAACCCAAAACAAAACAAAAAAAAAAAAAAAACATAACAACTACGCTTGGTGAATAAACGTTTATTTACACTTTTAGAGCATTTACAAACATTTATGAGGTTTGATTGTAATTCTAACATTTGAAGTGCAAATAAAGTATTATTATCAATACTGTTGCACAAACTCCTTTCCTTTATTGCAACGTTACTTGTAAGACTTTTTTTCAAATGTTGTAAAAGTTTTCGTGTGTGGTATTTATTTCCTTAAGAATAAATAAAGTTGACTTTTAATCCTGATATTATAAACATTTGTCTTTTTTTTATAATAACCTCTTCATCAAGCATAATATGATAACTCGTCTACTGACTGCTTTTCTTTCCTAACAAATACATTAATATTGCGTTGAAGATTTTTATTTGTAGTTCTACTTCTTATTAGGTCTGTAAATTTTGTATGAAGCTCAAATCCAACTCTATCCATGCAAGAAATAACGTATTCTGGAGACTGGTTGTTGATATGAGAGTAACCCTGTTGTCCAGGCCTTGCCCAGCTCAAAATAACACCTTCTCGTGCATGTCGAACTATGTTGCTTACCAAGACTTCCTCATAGGCTTTGGGTACGTGTTCAGCTACTTCTAAACACAATATCCAATCGTAAACTGGTAAGCCAAACTGTGGTAACGAAAGGTCAAGAAATTGCACGAGACCACCGCTTGTTATCTCACAAAATGGGGCTCCATCATACGCATCATATGATTTAACTTGTCCTGTTTCAAGTATTGCGCTTTTAAATCTTCCTGGCCCGTCTCCAAAACTTGCAATGTTTTTTCCTTAAAACAATATAATCAAACAATAATATGCTTTAAGATAAATAAAAAGGTACTGCCTAAATAACTGGAACATGATAAAGGGATTGCGGAAAATTCATAGAAACACAAATAATTAGGGTTCTTTTCAATACACTCTAAAGACCAATTATCCGTATTAAATTGATTATGAATTTTGTAGCATTTTTTCCAACTCCTAGTACAAAGAAAAGCTAATTTTAATTATTAGATTACAGTAACTAAGATAAGAATATTTATTTCTTCATAAAAATGCGATAAGGTATTTCATAACCTTTCAAAACCAAACTACTGACTTCCAAAGTAGATACATATAATTCATAAAATTTATTTGCAGCATGATTCATTTAGTATATTGTCGTAACAATTTCCCTTAATTTTGATCTAAGTGTATGCTTAAAACAATTTATATTGCATGTAATATACATTAAAAATATATCCTAACTTTCGTGTTAATTTTTCATTTATCTGTAAATTTGTAGACTCAGATGAACATAGTTAGTTTGATTTCAATTTACCTTGAAAGAATTCAGCTAATCCTGCAGCAAGACTTTTGTCAAAGCCTAAATGTTTCGTTTTTGAGGCTATTGGGCACCATCCGCCTTCATCGGTCGTCTCCTCCCTCGCAACTTTTGTTCTGTTTAACTCCTTCCAAAACAGATTCAATTAAAATCAATCAATCCATATCTTAACGGTTAACAGGTTATCTAACAAGTCAAAACGATAGTTTAGTAAAACAGATGAACCAAACATGGTAAACGTAAAAACATATTTTGGATCATTCATAAAATGGATGTAATGTTAATGTCATTTCACTGACAAATAATTCCTGTTAAAAGTCTTTATTGTCAAATAACGAATGACTGGTCATCTACCAACATAATTACGTAAAATGTTTGAAATGGTTATCGGTGTATCTTAACAGAAATATCTTTGACACAGAAACAATTCATATGAATATGCAAGCACTTTAACGAATTTGTGAAAACTATTTTATTATTCTTCATATTTGATTTTAAAGTTATTTCACCATTCCCAAATAGCGTATTATTGTAATTGTCAACAACATCCGAAAACAATGTACAGTTTAAGCTCAACAGGCTGATGACATATTGTTTATTTTATGCATTTTTCTTGTCACGATACATTTGTTTCCAGTTTTAGTCTCAAAAAGTGTTTTTGATGTTGTTGACACTTCTATATTTAATCATCTAAATACGGACTAGATAGTTTGAGTAGGAAAAAAATAATAAAACAAACGCCTATGCTTATAATTTATGTGTATCAATTTATCTCAATCAGTTATGCAACACCGTATCAAAACGATGTTTCTATATCCACAAAAAAAAGAGAATTATATATAAATACTTTGTTTTTGTTTTCAAAGTAAACGTTACTCTACCTCGCATTTCATTCGCCCTATAATTTGCTGTTTCTGGTTAAGCAGTTTTGCTAGATGATTTCTCTGAGCTATCAGCATATTTTCATCCTGTCTGATATTGCTATTTGACCACGTGTCCATGTACTAAATGCAAATGAAAAAAAACCAAGTCTGTGTAGCTGAAAAGCTTTGTTAAATTAAGAAATGTCGGACTTTCAGTGTTTTTTATATAGTATTCATCAGCATGATCTACAGATTCGTCTTGCTCAATGCTAATTACTATCGACTCAAGCCCGACAAGGGTTAAGTAAATATACAGAGGATATTAGTTTTGCATGTAGAATTGAAATATAGTTTTTATTAAGTGAACATCAGATGCAATATTTTCACGAGTTGCGTAGCCACGAGTGAAAAAATAATAATAGCTGGTGTTCACGATTGAAATAAATATGAGTGTAGTTTAATACTAAAATTATTGAACGAGTTGAAAAAAATCAGAGGCTCGCATATTTTATTCAACAAGTTCAATAAATTTAGTATTGAATCTACATGAATATAATATTCTATTCATCACATATATAAAATAAAAACCAGTAAACTGTTAAAATGAGTAATTTTTCAATGACGCGTCTGGAGTGGAACGCTAACATTAGCGCGCTTTAACGCTATGTTTCTATATCGCGCAAATGACGTCACGTCACTAATGTAATATCGTTTTTATTAAATGGCTTTATTACACTCCTGCGCCGCGGTTTATGTGATAAATCTCAATATTATATGTAAAACAAATAAAGAAAAAATAATTTCATGCTTTTTAAGTGATTTTAAGTATTTTTTTACTGATTTTGCCTGGTCATTAACCAACAAAATTACGTAAAATTTTGAAATCGTTATCGGTGTATGTTTACAGAAATATCTTTGTCACAGAAACAAATCATATGAATATGCAAGCACTATAACAAATTTGTGAAAACTATTTTATTATTCTTCATATTCAATTTTAAAGTTACACTATTCTTCACAAGTGTGTAATTGTAAGTGTCCACAACATCCGAAAACAATGTACATCTCAAGCCCTAACATATTGTTTCTTTTATGCATTTTTCTTGTCACGATACATTTGTCTTCACTTTTTGTCTCAAAAAGTGTTTTTGATGTTGTTGACACTTCTATATTTACGTGACGCATTCTCCTTTGTGAGTCATCACATCATGACTTCATATCATCAATTTTGAAATAAAGGTCTGTTAAATTTCTCTAATTTTTCTTTGACATTTTTAACATGATGTATGAGGGCATCGACTTACTTTTCCTAAAGAAGCAAAATTTACACATGACGGCATTTATTTCTGCCTGTTATTCCATTTAGTTATGATTTTCTTTTCATCAGCATTCAGATATAGTCCGGTTACAGTGAAAACTACATTTTATAAATTTCACTAGTGGTTTATCAGAATATTATTATCTTATATATAACAAAAACACGGGAAAACATGAAATTAAGAAATATAACAACACTCGGACGAAGTATTGGGACAACCTTTTACAATTGCTAAGTAACACCTGGAAGAACCAGATAGATATTATCATACTGAAAATAATAATCTAAGAAATCATTTTCTATCATATATTAAGTATTTTGCACGTGGGAACATAAATGTCTCTTCATGCACTTTGACATAACGCAGCATTGATTAATTTCTAGAATTATCATTTGATCAGGATCGATGCTGTTCGCTTACAAACCTTATTACAAGTAGAGAAATTGATAGCGAACAGCATGGATCCTGATCAGACTGCGCGGCAGCAAACGCACTATGTTGGTTTTGTCGTGACACGGCTGATATTTGTTTTTTTATGTTATACATTAAGTAAACATCGTTACAGTGATGACAATTAATAAGTCCCTTAACAATCTTCTCACTGATTATATCCAATTTTTACAAATAAAGAAAATAAATTATTTTTATATCATATATTCTAATATTTATTTTGGTTCTTAAACCTAAGAAAACTTGTGAACACATTGTGTTTGAATAAAAGAAATTCCACCGACTTGCAAACATTCAAAAGTATTAGTGGATGGTTGTTATCAAGTAGGCATCAAACACTATCTATATGAGCCGCGTCACGACAAAACCAACATAATGGGTTTGCGACCAGCATGGATCCAGACCAGCCTGCGCGTCCTTGCAGTCAGGATCCATGCTGTTCGCTATCAGTTTCTCTACTTCATGTACTTGATATAAACATTCTATGTTTCAACTCTCAAATGAACCGACCAGGACATGGAAAAATTTTATAAATATATGTCATTTGATAAATTTTTTATAACTTTTAAGTATTGTAATCATCATTAAGACATATCCTTAATAAAGAAGGGAAAATAAGTAATGAAAGAAAGAAGAAGAAACACAAAGAAAAAATCTTAAACATGAATTCTGCGAACAAAATCTGCCTTTTTAACAGTAAATGTATGATTTATGTGAAAGTACTTCTCTTTAAATCTTGTTTTAGTGGTTATGAGTAAACAGTTTTCTGCCCCCACTAAACAAATTATGAGTGACCTAAAATTGAACTAAGATTCTGCAGGGCGTCTATAGTGTGGCATGTAAACGATTTCTATTATTGACATATAACACTCTTTTAGCACGAAATATTAGCTTACAAGAGTTATCCAGTTAACCAGTCTCTCTTTTTTGTGCTACACTTGGGGCTGGTCTGCATGTGATGGCCTATTTATTCTCTATTTTAAATGCTTGTACCCTACATGAAATCATACTATTAGCGTACTATATTAATTTTTATAGTTCATATGTATGAATTATTTCATTGTCGAACAAACGCGTATTTATTGCAGTCAAAAACAGTAAATTTTACAATGAAATTTATTGCAAAGAATATTACCCTTTTCTTCCAGTCAATGTCGTCACGTTTCTTCCACAGGATTGTCCATAACATCGTTATAGCCATTAAACATAGAAAAGCACTACAAACATTTATAGCATCCTTCCTAGTCATTTTCTAAATGTCAATATAAACACACAGGTTTAAGATTTTTTAGCAAACTTAATACCATTCATAAACATGTATCTAATCATAAGTGTCATCCGTTTTTATATAGTTAAATAAAGACGAAGAAGAAAACGTGGTATATCAGGACAATATACCACGATTAAGTTAGTCCGCTAAAAATATTCTTCCGAATAGTCACTATCAAAAATCAATGTATTTTCAGTAATCCTTCAAGTAGGTGCGACCATATACATACTCGTACTAAACGAAATGCATTTATGTACAAACATTGAAGTAAATTCGCAATATACTTATGCACTGAACTACACAGGACAATTATTCATTATTAACTGTTTATTTGTCATATTGTTTAATATACATACAAAATAACAGACCGACTTAAGAATACTTTATTTACGTCTGATGTTAATAAAACAAAAGGAAAAAAAGTAAAACAATTTGTGAATCTCGAACTCGTGACAAAATATTTGATCACAAGGAATGACGACTACTTTATCAAGTTCACTACCCTGATATTTAACATTAAGGTTCAAAGTTACTGTTATATTTGATTACGTAAGACCTGTTTTTACCTTTTAGTCCAGTGTTGAAGACTTTTGTGTACACATAAATTGAAACCTCACTCACACATTATCATAGACAAACAGTACAAAACAAGGATTATTAAAACGAGCACGTTATTTTATTTATTAATTATTTCTTAATGAGTATTCAAATACATTGATTAATTAAATTTGTTTATTAAAGAATGAGATTTCATCGGTTGTTATGGGTAGTGAAATATTACTTTTAACAATATGATTTTTCATTTAAAAAATCCATAATTTGGAACAAATTACTTTGAGGCAAATGGATCTTTAGAAAAGATACTCGGCCGACGTTAAACTGGTTGCCATGCATATATTGTTTCTAACTTTTCGATATAGATAAACAATACAAGCAATAATTGCATTACAATGACATGTTAATGTTTGTAGCTTAGAATTTTATTTTTTTTTGTAAAGACAGAACATATATTAAAAGCATTTTGATATTGATGTCTCTTCAAAGTAAGACAACATCTTTTTGATAGTATTTATTTAGGTGTTTCTATAACTGATTTTCACGTTTGACTTTACAAATTTTGTAATCATATGCAATATTTGTAATGTCATTTAAATAATCACATATAAGATATTGCAAATAGAAATAAGAGGATAATGAAAATTATAAAGTCAAAAAAACAATTAAACGTTTTATCTTTGGTTTAATGCAAACAGCTATGTTAAAAATAAAAACAAAATAAATACTGTAAATACTTAACCGGCCGTGGTGTTACAGACAAAAACAATTGTGATGACTAGAGATTACATAAAAGTGGGTCAATATCCCACCCACCATGTGAAGCCAAATTTAAATGCCAAATACAAATATAATTATTCATTTTGTACTCAATAATTCTGTAACTGTTCATTTTTAATATCGTTTTAAATTAGAAAATAATTGCTTAAACAAGTAAAGTTAAATCAAAAGGAAATTTGAAAGGGAAATACTGAAAGATGTATGAGTTCCTAAATGAACTTGTCGTGTGTCGGTAAGGGAACTAATTTTCTTATACAAAAATATTTACGCAGTCAGAAGACAATTCTATTAAAATACTTAATTTATAAGCAAAACAAAGGAAAAGGATTAAAATTGTATCAATTAAAACATCGAAGATCAGATTATTATTAAAGATAATAAACTAAGGATACTAATGACAGGAACTATCCTTTAAATTTTATTTTCATAAAATATACTTATAATTTATTGTTTTTTCATCATCGTGACATCGTTCCATTGTGTTTTCACCATCGTACAATCGTACGTCTCTGGTAAAGACGAAATAAAAAAAACACGATTGTTCAAGAAGAACACCGTTAACATCTGCTCTAATGTCAATGTCAAGTTGGCCATTTCTTAAAAAACTGCCAGTTTTTAATGACACAATTTCCATACATGTATTGTGAATAGAATTTTAAACATAACATATCTACTATGTGTGAAGTCAAAACGTGTTTATATTATATTGACAAAGAGACTGTGTAGCAATTATCACTATTTTATATCAAATTTGAAATAGTATAATAAAAAGATTATATTGAAAGAATCAATTTATAAAAGGGAAAATGACGTTGTAACAACAGTAATAAGTTATTGTCTATCCCAGGTTGTAAACGACTAAGCTGCAAAGAAATGGTACAAAGTAAAGTAGCCTGATTTTAAATCATTGCATTAGGTTAGGGAAATTTGAAGATTGTGCTACGTCATTTATTCCTGAAAGATTATTTTTTAAGTGAGAGCATAGAATGACTTAGTCTAGCTAAAGATAGAAACTTTTCGGAAAATTATTATTAGATTTTGCCGATTGTGTTAATTACTGGATGAGCTGTAATGTCACTAAAATTATGTATACTTCTACATTTCTTTAATCATAATACATTTCCTCTTGCACGTGTTTATGACAACTCTAGCATAAGCGAATGATAACTCAAATATTAATGTATGATAACTCTAGCATGAGTGTATGAAAACTCTAGCACGATTGTTTGACAACTCTAGCACGTGTGTATGATTACTCTAACAAGACCGTATGATAACTCTAGAATGACCGTATGATTACTCTAGCATGAGTGTATGATAACTGTAGCATAAGTGAATGATAACTCTAGCACGAGTGTATGATAACTCTAGCTCGAGTGTATGATAACTCTAGCACGAGTGTATGATAACTCTAGCATTAATGTATGATAACTCTAGCACGAGTATATGATAACTCTAGCACGAATGTATGCTCACTCTATCATGAGTGTATATGATAACTCTTGCATGAGTCATTGATAACTCTAGCGCGAGTGTATATGATAACTCTAGCACGAGTGTTGATAACTTTAGCATTAATGTATGATTACTCTAGCACGAGTGTATGATAACTCTAGCTCGAGTGTATGATTACTCTAGCACGAGTGTATGATAACTCTAGCAATAATGTATGATAACTCTAGCACGAGTATATGATAACTCTAGCATCAATTTATGATCACTCTAGCATGAATATTTGATAGGTCTAGCACGGTTGTTTGATAACTGTAGCATGAGTGTATGATAATTGTCGCATGAGTGTATGATAACTCTAGCATGAGTGTATGATAACTCTAGTATTAATGTATGATAACTCTAGCATGAATGTATGATAGGTCTAGCACGGGTGTTTGATAACTGTAGCATGAGTGTATGATAACTCTAGCACGAGTGTATGATTACTCTAGCATGAGTGTATGATAACTCTAGCATCAATGTATGATAACTATAGCATGAACTTTTGATAGGTCTAGCACGGGTGTTTGATAACCGTAGCATGAGTGTATGATAACTGTAGCATGAGTGTATGATAACTGTAGCATGAGTGTATGATAACTGTAGCATGAGTGTATGATAACTCTATCATTAATGTATGATTACTGTAGCATGAGTGTATGATAACTGTAGCATGAGTGTATGATAACTCTATCATTTATGTATGATTACTGTAGCATGAGTGTATGATAACTCTATCATTAATGTATGATTACTGTAGCATGAGTGTATGATAACTCTATCATTAATGTATGATTACTGTAGCATGAGTGTATGTTAACTCTAGCATGAGTTTATGTTAACTCTAGCATGAGTGTATGTTAACTCTAGCATGAGTGTATGTTTACTCTAGCATGAGTGTATGTTTACTCTAGCATGAGTGTATATAACTGTAGCAGGTGTTTATGATTATTTGTTGCCTTTTCTTGATGTTGCCCTCGATTTGTTTCGCTTAAAATGTCTCTATTATCATATTCTATCAACATGTTTAGTTTAAAGTCATTCTATTGAACAGTTTTAATTTTGCCTACATGTCTATATATGAAAACTCCTGAAAACGTCCTTCATATAGCAATTACTTTATTTCTAATACCACAAGAGGTAAATCATATAACAACACTGAATCTTTATTTCTATTCTAAAAATCACTGTACATGAATTATAAATAACATGGTATACTGTAAAACTTGCATTTGTATTATGTTGTCGTATATATTTAAAACACAAAACGAGACATCGGAGAAGTTATTGTTTTTTGGGGGGATTTTTGATGTTGTTTTTTTGTTTGTTTGTTTGTTTTTTTTTGTTTTTTGTTTTTTGTTTTTTTTTTTTTTTTGTTTTTTTTTTTTTTTTTTGGTATTTGTTTGATAAAAATGTTAATCGTTAATTGTTCCATCGAATTGATATATCTGACAATAAATTGATATATCTTACAATAAATTGATATTGCTTCCAGACAACAAATGCATTTATTTACCTGAGAAAAAAACAATAATTATATTGCTACAAATTTCCCCCTTGTTGCGAATGACAGCCTTTGGCCTCAATAAAAATCACATTAACTAGGACCACATAATTTATAATTCACGTCATCATACAATAATTGTATAAGATTAGTCTGACAATAAATGAGTATCAATTGTAATTGAAGTTAACATAATCTTAACAAAAACATAATTAGTAGTATTTTTCATCTAATACCTATCCAATCTGGTGGGTAATAATCATATTTATTAAAAAGGGTTGCTATATAACTTTTTGATCGAGGAAACTCTTTATAATAAACAGCTGTCCCTCCTGCTAGCCAAGCTCCCCACCAGCCGAATGTTCCTGCTGACACTATCACGTGATCACTCAAGGCCATAATTGCCAGATCGTCACCAGGATTGTCGAATGGACTTATATGGACATTTTTCAAGTTCTCTTCACACCATTTCTTGTCATTTGTAACCACATAAAATACAATGTCAGATGTGTTTTGTTGTAATATGTTCTTGGCTTTGTCAACAAATTTAGCATCTACTACGGCATATCCTCTTTTTAATCGTTCTGGGGCACTAAAATCCCCACGACGGATATGAATTGTAACCTGTTTATAGCCTTTAGGGTTAATAATTTTCATATACTTTTCAGCGTTGTGAAAATGTACAGATTTCAATCGTAGTGCGTTTTGAACAATATCTCGTTCTGTATTAAAATATCTCCAAGATTGAAAACAACCTACCATGGTAAAGTTGTGAGATTCTGCTTTAAGTCTTTTACTGAAGTTTCTATATATTGCCACTTCATTTGCATGAAGGAATACATTATTTGACAATTTTCTCTTCTTCAAATCAACAATATTAGGTAAGTCAAAGTACTTGTTTAAGGGGTACGATGAAGGAATAACTGGTATTAAATCATATCTATATGCCAATCCCAAAATTGTAGCAGTTTGAAACAAATCGTTGCCCGTTCTTCCTTCACTTTTAGCAATTGTAATAAAACGCTTACAGTGAGATGTTCCCGGGTCAGACAGAGGCATTCCATTGCTTGTATATTTCCAATAAAGATGAAAACATCGTTTGTTACTATACATTACACTGTCATTTATATAAACAAATTTCTTATTGTGCATCTCGTATGATGTAGTAATTCTGAGTGGTTCAGGTATAAGCACGTATGTTTCTGAACTTTCTGTAACGTAAGTTAATATGAAAATAAACGGCAACAGAAACAGCAGTAGCACTACACTTCTTATTCGCAACATCCTTTTCATTCTGATAAAGCTCGAAAATCCCATACTTCAGAGAGAGTCATTTATAATATATCCGCCACTACTTTGCTCAAAGAAAAAACACACAAAAACATTTCAGTGTATTAATACCCTTTACCGTTTTATTTAATGTGTTTCAAAATGCTACACTCTTTTAAATATCGATGTAAATCCAGAAAGTTTTAAATATTGACTTGTTTTAGAAAAAAAATATTGGACGTACAAAAATACCAAATTTTTTGTTAAATCAATTTAAATTTTATAAGCACTGTTCGCCGTTTTGAGGTAGTAAATATGTACAACGTTTATCACTAGATACCTTTTCATACAGCATGGATAAGTGTAGTATATATGTTGATGTGTAAATTTGTGAAAGCAATTAAAATGTATTGAAAATCTGCTTTCCTGGCCAGTGTGAATTTTTATCACCCCGTGATTGATTTATTTACCCCACTATCGTGATTAACAATAGAACAATGATGTAATGTTTAAATCCTTAAAAGGGACTTGACTGGGTTCTTTAAAATGATGGTATGTACTGGCAAGATTCGACATTTGTATATCGTATAGTCTAACAACATGCTTGCCAAAGTGCAAATCATTCACTCTTCCTATTTTACCAGAATATTTATTTATTTTTTTAATTTGCAAAATAGAAAAACAAAAAAACGACGAAAAAAAAAAAAAAAAAAACAAGAAAAAAACCGCCCCCCCCCCCCTCTAATTGGGTGAAAATTAACACTTTAAGCGGTAGTAGATTTAATGTATATTTTTTATCATCGTTTGCTTGTTTTAAGTGCCCAAGATGCTATCTGTGATAATTTTTAAATGTTTTCAGGAGCTCAAAATGTGTTGACATGCGTCTTAGTTACCAACTAATATTCTGTTAGTGACAATGGAAATAGAAACGGAACAAACATTTCAAAGACATTTTTCTAACCTTTAATTCATTGAAATTATGTACCAATTATTAACAATCATTTCACACGCTAAAACTTACTAGTCTATTTATGAAGAGGGATTTATATAATGTTATTGTATAAGATCTATAAAAATTCCAATCTCAACAGACCAAATTATAAATTTTGATTTTCCGTACCTTAAATAGAATCGGACCCATTTTCAATGACTATTCTGCGTTGACTATTAACAATAGTTGTATTTTGTTTTATGGCATATTTCTCTAATCTTTTTATTCCAAACATATGATTAAAAATACCCCACAATGCTAGGCAGATTATATAATATGATTATTGAATAATGAGTCAATAATTGTATACTATTGTGTTATACTATTGTGTGCTGTGCTACAACAAAATATAATATAAGGTATTTACTCAAGATTTTAGACTTTCTTGTTCGAAATGAAAATTATATAATGCTTCAAATTTTAATTCACCTTTAATTGCTCTTCTTTTACACATTGTTAGTCCTAAGTGAAGTTAATTTTTTGTTAAAGATCTTAGTTAAATGCTTTGATATTAGAATTTATCCTGCCAAAATAAAACACAAGATTAGTAAAATGCTGATATGATACTGCGAATTCCTTAAAGTAAATGTAGCGTTTGTGCGATACAAAATTACCCAAAATAAAACCCTACTAACAAGCGCAAATAAGCAACATATTTATGCAAATGAATGAACAAACATTTACTTGAGAATGTTTAAAAATTTATCGTGCCTTAGCGTTATTATTACATTTCGTTTTATATTGAAAATGAACAAGTATATAATTATAAACAATATAATAAAGGTTGAATTAACTCCTAAACATATGCAATTTTCAGTTCATTGTTACAGTGTTTTTTTTTTTCGAAAGGTTGTTATTTGTCATATTTTACTCGCTTCATTTAAGATCACCTAGTATTGTCTTTTATTCGTCTTCGTGAGTTATATATTGTTTGTCGTCAACATTTTCTTTAAACAAAATCTCTTTTATAATCAATGCCTTGATATAACTAAACTTTACAGGAAAAACAGTTGGAACATCCCTGTTTAAAGGTCCGGTCAGTTCACAGGGCTAAAGAGGGTTAAAAAATGTAAAAAGCTTCTTATTAGAAAGTTCAATGATCAAATCTTTGATATACTCTAGAGGTCCTCTAAAAAGTAACTCACATGATGTCTTTTTAGACAATATTGTTTCCGCTTTGGGACATCATGGGTTTCCTGATACTTATTTATCGCAATTTTAATAAATTTTCTCTGAAATCCCATGGGCTGGAGCATTTTTTAAAAAATAAAATATTACCAGGTAGACTTCAGTCAAGATAATGGTGGAAAGTTTTAGCATTACAACATGTGTGATCGGGCTTTGTTTTTGTATTTGTATATACATTGTAGATGTAAATAAGTACAAAAAAATTATATTGTGTTTAATTTGTCTGTAAAATATACTTTATCAATTATAACTTTTTAAAGTTCCAATCGGATCAACATACATTTCATTTTGTAATTGGAAATAATTGCGATAGGATTTAATACGAAAGATATAGAAATGAGCAAAGTTACACAAGAAGAAGACAGACCGCCTATTATCCAATAGAAAACTTAATGAAGGAACTTGTGGATGCAGTCTAATAAGAACAGAAAGAAATGGTACGAATGGAAGGTGACGAAACCACAACAAAAGAGAAAAAGGTTGAAAGATTGACAGTAAATATGAAACAGTGCCATATAAAGATCAATCTATATCCGAGAATTGGCAGATTAACAGGTTATTAGTAATATAAGTGCAGAATAAAAGAAAACTGGTTTAGAAATGAGTACAATAGTACTAAAACTGCTATTCTACACATTAATCTCTAATCTTGACTTGAATACGTCGAATAGACCTGATGTTTGTTTAAATATAGAAAATATGAATCCCTAAAAATCGCCCAAAACGGCAACATTGAAAATGTTGAAGGCTCGGTTTAATTGAGCCTGTTCATGAACGGTAATGGAAAGTGCAAGTTACCGTCCACGCCCCCTAGCACCGGTTTAAGCAAAGTTCAACATTTTAAAATAAAATGTTTAAAGTTTGAATTAGGAACATCCGCAGATGTACTCATACAGCGGTTATCATGATGTTCAGTTAAATAATATAACAATACTGAGATAAAATATTTGGTAAAATAATAATAATTTTGTTTATAAAAAGTAAGTCTTGTTAAAGTTTTAGATAAAATTTTTCGTAATTTATTTTAATAATTCATATATTACATTATGATATCCGTATTATTATTTCAAAATGTATATTATTATTATTAAAAAAATATAGATAAGATTTATAACATCCACAAAGGCACAATAGTATAGATCGGACGTTATACAAATTAGTAGATAAGAAGAACTGAAACAGAACATTATTGGCATTATCACAGCTTCCACGCTGTTATTACTGTCGTGATAACAAAGAGCTTGATAACTATAATGTTTTATTCACAATCCTAAGGCAATTACAGCAGTTCAGCAGATCAAACTAAAACTTAGCTCCAAACAAACCCATAATCGTTGCTTTAAATTGTCAAAAGAATAAAGAAGCGTATTGCATGTACAAATATTTCGGGTAGTTTATGTATAAATATATCAGAGAAAAACGAAAACACTTTATATGAATACGAAAATATGGTGAACCATTGAAACACTCACTGGTTAGAAGCCTAATATTACTAAAGACTTGATGAAGCAAACAGGAAAATTATAGTTCAAGCGATGCGTGCTTCACTTTAGTTTCGTAGTTATGTATTTATTACGTACATCGATAAATTGTGCTTTTTTTTCTTCTTGTAAAATACATTTCGTTTGTTTATTTAGAATTAGTGTAACCCTATACCCTATACAGCAACTAGATATTAATTGTAACACCATATGATACGTTTCGTTTTTATGTGTTTATTACGTACATTGATAAATTGTGCTGTTTTTCTGATAAAATGTACATTTTGTTTATTTAAAATTAGTGTAACCCTATACAGCAAATAAATATTTTTCGGATCTACCATAAGAACTTAAATCAATACATTTTAAAATGTTGGAAATGGAAAATATGTTGAAGTAAGTATAGAAAAAGTTTTCTTGCATTATTTAAATTATCAAATGTGAATTGTCTAATAGACATGCAGATTGCAAAGGAAAACAATGGTTAGGTTTGAGAATGACAGCGGTCGAATGCTTGGTGTCTACTTATTTTCCTGTACAGCAGATAAATAATCATTTCTCAAGGGATTTCAAACTTTATTTGAACTTCAATGAAATCATAAAGAATTTAATCCACATATTTTGTTTCTCAAGCAATATTTTATAAGAAAATCAAAATGATAGATTCTTTTTGTTTGATCAATATTTAAAATACTTACGGTAAATGTGCCCATAATAGGCCGATCCACGTGAAACAAAGTTATGTACACAACAAAAAGTTCACATGTAATAATACACAAATGACAGTTTTGCCAAAAAATTAAATAAAGTTGTGAAAATAAAATGTAATGACTGAATGTTGCTAGCAATACCTTACTAAACGTAGTTGCCGTGCTATTTGGGAATACTGTTTTTGAAGCCCATTGATGACATATAAGTTCATCTTAGACAAGAAAGATAAATATAATCTGTATATTATGAAGAGAAGTAAACAATAAATCAAAGTTCCTATTTTGGAACATATTGGATACCGGAGTTTTTTAAAACTACTGATAAAACAATTTTGGTAGATAGAGTATCACTGCATTGTTTTACAGGTTGAGCCGGAGAAAAATGTACCTATCGTTTGGCTTAGTTGCATGTTTAAGTATCATTTACCTGCAGACATACTTATCCCCTCGTACTGCTTTACAAGCAGAAACACCTTTGTGAGTATTAAATTTCTTTATGTATATTAGAGCTGATTTGAGTTAAATAACAATAAATAAGTATTTTCTTACAATTCAGGAGACCGATCAAGCTAAAATAATTGAAAATTTACTTGTAATTGTTATACGCTTACAACAGATATCAATACCATAAAGATAAAGAAATAAAAAAGCATAGTTATGTCATTGTGTTTGTAATAAAATTGTTTGTTTATTGATTCCATTCATCAATACAAAATTACAATACATATATGCCCACCACGGTCTTCGATTAAACAAAAGTATATTGATAGATTATATGATTTATAAATCTTATTACTGCCAGTGCTCAACCAAATTTGTATTTCTATTCATTAACAGATTTAAATATCATGATGCATTTAGAAACCCATTGGAAAATTATAAACAGGGTGTAAGATGCAATGATAGTTTGCTAGCTGCTGAAGTATCGAGCTCCGTAATTCATTTACAAGGTAACTAAAAAATTACAAGTTCAGACACCTTTTCGTGTTTGTAATTTTTTGTACCTGGTTCCGGGAATAATTTTTGATATATTTCGTACATATATTTGCTTTGATATTCATTTAGAATTATTTATATCCAAAACCTTAAAAGTAATAAGTAGTACACAATAAAAGTTGCCTCAACTTCTTTATTATCAATTTCTTCACTTGTAAGAATGGTTTCTCTCACATCGCGCGATATACTCACAAGAGTCGCTGTTCTTTCCTAGGGCCATACATGCCAATTGATCCCGGACATTATGATGAGTGGTCAGCTGTGTCTCACCACTTATTTTGAAATCATGTAAGATAAGTATTTGGTCACTTGCCGGGACATTTGATATTACTAGTTAGGTATTCAGTAACGCAGGTATGGTGGACCGACAGCTCTGATATGACCATAAAATATTAGTACAAAAGTGTTTATTCTTCAATGCTTATGCACGCACAATCATTTATATTCAGGTAAAAGTTCAGTCGTTCTTGGAGAATATTTTCGCTTTTCTGTTGAATTGTACAATGGATATGGCAAACCCAAGGTAACTGGAGGCGATCATTTACGAGCACGACTATTCAATGACCGCGTAAAAGCATACACACCTGGTACTATTTTTGACCATGGAAATGGCACATACACAGCAACAGTTCAAGCACTATGGATTGGACAGGCTCAGTTACAAGTTGAAGTGTTGTACACAAAAGAAATACTTACCGCTGCAGTCCGTTTAAGGAATATATGGGTATAATTGTTTTCTTATCACATGATTATAAGTGTCCTTTTTTTAAATTTTCGTTAAAAAAACAGTTTCTATCGATAGACATGAAATTGCCTTTTCAACAACATCTGAGTAGGTTTTATTCTGTCCTTTCTGACGATTTTTGTTGTTGTTGTTGTTATTGTGCGGCAATAGTTTTCTAAGTAATTTTAGTTATCTTATTGGAATACGTGAAAACATAAAATCCGACTGCACCTCATTCAAAGCAGGACGTGTCCATTGCACTGCACTAATTTTGAAATGATTGACTTATATGAATCAAATGCTCAAATGTAAGCATTTCAGTGTTTGCAAAGAGAATGAACAAATAAACTGCATTCCATTCAGTTTTGTGTAAGTTGTAGTAAATCATATTTTGTCTTTAGCACGTGTCATCAAACTCATTTATTAGCTCACATGAGCTAGCTCATGGTGAGCTTTTAGGATCGTTGAATGCCCATCGCCCGTCGTCTGTCGTCCGTCGGCCGACAACACATTTGTTCGTTAGCACTCTAGGGGTTACATTGTTTCCTCAATCATCATCAAATTTGGTCAGGATGCTTATCTAGCTTTTTATCTAGGTAATAGCTCGGTTAAGTTCGAACATGAGTCAGCTCAGACGAAAAACTAGGTCACAGGAGCTAAAAATAGAAAATCATTGTTAACACTGTAGTGGTCACATTGTTGACTCAATTTTCATCAAACTTAGTCAGGATGCTCGTTTATGTAATTGCTCAGATGGGCTTGGACATATGTCATCTCGGAAAACTAGGCCATAGGAGCTTATACTAGAAAAAACCTTGTTAACACTCTTGTGACAACTGTGTTGATCCAAATATCCCTGAAATTGGTTTGAAAGTTTGTTTTGATGACTTCTATATCAAATTTGAATATGGATCACCTGGGAATAAAAATAAGGTTACACCGCTCGAATATGTAAAACCCTATTTTACACTCCGGTGGTTACATTTTTGACTCATTTGTCTGCTCGGATAAGTTTGAACATGGGTCAGCTCGGATGAAAAACTAGGTCACAGGAGGTAAAATATAGAAATCTTGTTAACACTTTAGGCGCTACTGTTTTGATCCAAATATCCTGGAAATTGGTCTGAAAGTTTGATAAATGTTATGTCAAGTTCGAATATGGGTCACCTGGGTTCAAAAACAAGGTCACATCGCCAAGATATGGAAGAACCCTGTTAACACTATAGTGGTCACATGTTTGACTCAATTGTCCTCAAACTTGGTCAGGATGCTTTTCTAGGTAATTGTTTGAACAAGTTTGAGCTTTGGTCATCTCGAATGAAAATCTAGGTCACAGGAGCTAAACATAGAGAACATCTTCTTAACACTCTAGTGGCTACCGTTTTGATCTAAATATCATGGAAATGGGTCTGAAAGTATATTTTGATGATTTCTAGGTCCAGTTCGAATAAGGGTTACCTGGGGTTAAAAAACTAGATCACACTCCTCAAAAATTCTTGTGAACACTTAAGTGGTCACATTTGTGAATCACCTGTCATGAAACTCGGTCAGAATGCTTGTCTTTGTAACTGCTCGGATGCGTTCGATGGTTCAGGTGAGCGATCTTGGGCCATCTTGACTCTCTTGTATTTTATCCTCCCGCTTAACCCAATAGAGAGAACTCAATCCCCTCGAGCGAAGAGTGACAACTGGTCTCAAATTTAATGTTTAATGATCATTTTTCCCTCCATTGATTGATTCTCGAAATAATGATACTTGCATAACTAAAGCGGTCGGCCATTTGCGGAGAGTAAAGTAATTACTGGTTAGCTATCCAGGAAAGCAGCAAAAGGCAACCGTCCACAGAGTATTGCCAAAAGTGTGTTCCCATCGGCGTTAAAATATTCATACAGAAACCCTACAAACAAACAAACTTATCTGTTGTAGGACTTTGACGGCATCAATGCAATATTTACGTACAAGAATCTTTCTGACAAAACAGCATGTGGTCCAGATTATAAAATAATATTAAAAACATTCTAAAACATCAAAAGTATGCGATTTTTCTTACTGGAACAAATCACGACCATGGTTTTGCGGGAGTCCGAAAGGGAAACTTTCATGTAATCATTGGTCATCCGTTACTCGCCACTGGACAAACTACACCAGAGGAATAAGTAAATGCGAGGACGAGTTGAGTAGAAGGTAAATTCTAATTATAAGGACAACAAAGAAACAACTACTTTAAATACTAATTTAAATATATTTTCAACATAAAATTATGGTTTATTAGAACTGACTAAATACTTGTACATTATGTCTAACTAACAAATAAAAGCATTATGTTGACAAAAGTAACAATAGGCATAATGATAATGTTGACAAAGGTAACAAAACAACGATTTTCAAATGACATAAGCCAGCGATCTGCTCATTGGCTGTATGTTTTTAGTTTTTGTATTCTATTCATGACTGGCTTCTGACTGTTCATCCAATCTGTTGTATTAAATGGCTTTCACCTAGCTGTAACACCGATGGGTTTGCATTTGCAACCAATACTGAGTCCGGCCAGCCTGAATGTTCATGCAGAATGGCCAAGCTCTATACCGTGGCTGAATTGATCATAATAAAAGACCAATAATTGTTTCCATCTTTCATCAACATTGCAAGACATTAAATCTGCAAAGAAAATACTATTAACATCCATGTAATAATTATTTGGATTTTAAAGGAATATACTCCTACTCTGCTGGGGACAACTAATTCTACTCTTGCGAAGAATAAAAACAAGATCAGCAAGCACTTAAATGCTATCTGATCATAGCCTGCAATGCAAGCACATCTGTATTGCCTGACAATGACCTGCACAGCCAGCACATCTGTGCTGCCTGACAATGACCTGCACTGCTAGCACATCAATGCTCCTTGATCATGGCCAGAACTGCGAGCACGTCTGTACCGTCTGATCATGGCCTGCACTGCAAGCACATCTGTGCTCCTTGATCATGGCCAGCACTGTCTGCCAATCAGTGTTGCCTGGTCATGGCCAGCACTGTCTGCACATCATTGCTGCCTGATTATGGCCTGCGCTGCTAGCACATCTGTGCTGCCTGGTCATGGCCTGCACTGCCAGAACATTGTGGTGCTGCCTGATCATGACCTTCACTTGCAGCACATCTGTGTCGCCTGATCATGGCCTGCACTGAAAGTACGTCTGTGCAGTGTGATCATGGTCTTCACTAGCACCACATCTGTGCTGCCTGATCATCGCATGCACTGCCATCAAGGCAGGCACTTCCAGTACATCTAAAAATGTTTATTTGTATTTCGAAGTTGATTATTTGCAATATAAATGTTTGTAAGAAATATATGTGTGTCTTTTCCCAAGAGCAAATTGCAGAAGGACATTACTAACGGTTTAAACACCAATGAAAAGAGCAGTATAAAATTTTGTTTTGGAATATTTTATTCTGGTTACATACACTTTACTTGTGTGATAAATCAGTTTCAATTCTTTTGAAATTTAGTCATAAGAATATGGTAAAACAAAATTGTACCGTTTTTATCTTTGCTACAATAGATATATGTAGGTATAGCTTTATATACATCAAGAATTGTTTTGATATCATGCCGGATTAGATCGTGTTTATACTTTTTTCAAGTGATCGCCACACGACCATACCACGAAACATAACCGTACAAATACTGCCAAGAACTAATGATGCAAACAAGACTACGTTTCAAGAAGCCTATATACCTTGTTCTATTTTCAATAAAACTAAATTATGGTTCAAAGAAAAGCCTACAGGATATTTCTACAATAACAGATGGATTCTTTCGCATTGTAAAGGTAAGGTATCTTTTGTGGAATAGGAAGATACATACATTTTAGAGACATTTTATATTTGAAATGTAGATTGTTTTTACTGCTAATAAATTTCAGAATTTTACGATTTAAAAATATAGATTATACAACTTTGATTTGCTTGTTGAGGACATCTGCTCCAATGTCACAATTACGATGAAAAGATCAATAATTTATGTCGTTTTACTACGATTTTTTTGTGGGGCGCCCATGGCTGAGTAGGTAAGGATGTTGACTTCAAACCATTTCCCATTTACCGAGGTGTACTCAAATCCCACAAGAGACTTTGGATTCTATTTGAGCTAGCTGGCTATACGCAGGCGCCTCTCATGCCTATAATAATGCACGAAGGGGCACCTGATATCCAGTAAAATAGAGTGAAATAATAATCCCTAAAGAAAGAAAGAAAGAAAGAAAGAAAGAAAGAAAGGGTGTAAATTTCCTTCTGATCAAAAATAATTTTCAAACATGGTATGGTACATGGTTTTCTGTAGTTGTTATGTTTTTAATTATGTTTTCTTCTACTTTATAATATCCAATTTAACAGGTATTAAACACTTTGATGGACAATGCTTAAGGAATAAAACCATTGTGTTTTGGGGAGACTCTACTCTCTTTCAGTGGTGTACATATTTAATGGAGAAACTCTGCCCTGGTGGTAAATATGGTTTTTATGGATGGAGCAAACTTGAAACGTGCACAATATGTAAATACAACGTAACAATATGTTTTCTAGGACATAGTATTCCAGTTTTTGTATTTAGAAAGGCGAATATGTATAAGTTTTTCAAAAACAATACATTGGAAGAATTCATTAAATCAAGACCAGGAAATGGGAAGGATCTTCTCCTAGTGCTCCATTTATATCTTCATATCCAGCAGTATCATTTGGATTATTATGCTGCACATATTTTGGAATTAAGAAGGAGTTTAGAGCTGATATTTGAAACAAAACCTAAAATCCAAGTGTTTATTAAATTACCACATACACATCGGAGAATGGATGTTGGGAAATGGCAACTCCGAGTAAATGATTATATTGGATTAATTTACACCAATATCTTGCGCAATACATTTAAAGGGCTCTATGATAAAATAACAGCGCTAGACCAGATGGATGCAACCGTTGCTATACGCAATTTAGATATACATCCATCAAAAGCATTTATCGGCGAAATGATTAATCAGTTTTTAAGTTACGTATGTATTTTCTAATAATAAAAAGTTATGATACACAAAATATTTGTTAATTCTTATTTTTATCTAAGAAGATACCTTAGCAGGAATACTCATACCAAAATATATATTCTCATATCTTCTCATATGTTCTTATTAAAAAGACCAAGGTCGTTAGTGTTCTTGCGGTGATTTTCTTCTATTAGTGATCTAATAATTTACACACACTAGACCATACAGTCACGAAAAAATACTGTACATGAAAAAATGCACAACTGTATATGAAAAGAAAAATCAATTAAAAGAAACACTTTTAGGCGTACACTTTCATCATTATGTGGCAAAGAAAACTCTTTTCCCCACACAAAGATTTTAAAGTGTAAAAAACAACTTAAACACGTATTTTGTCAATGTGACCAAAATCAAATAATAAAATTCCTACTTAAGATTGACAACCCCCACGATTTCTATGATGATCTATACTAGGCACGGTGTCATTTATTAACATCGATGGTCGAATAAAAGACAAAAGGAGGGCGTTTATGGCCGAGTGGTTAAGGTCGTTGACTTCAAACCACTTGCCCCTCCCCGCTGTAGGTTCGAATCCCGACAGGAACCTTGATTCCTTCATGTGAGGAAGCTATCCAGCTAGCTTACAGAACGTCGGTGGTTCTGCTCAGGTGCCCGTTCGTGCCTGAAATAATGCACGGAGGGGCACCTGATGTCTTCCTCTACCAGTAAAGCTGGAACGTCGCGATATGACCTATACTGTGTCGATGTGAGGTAAAACCCAATAAAAAGCAAGATCAAAGCTATGAAAATTTACTTTTTTATTTAAAACATATGAAATGTTATAATCTGACGCTGAAATATCTTAAAATATAACCATTACGGTAGAAAATTTGGCCTTTGATGAGAAGATTTGTAGATTTATAATAATCAATATTACTTTTTAACTAATACATATTTACAATTACACTTTCATCAATTGTCCGTTGCAACAGGAAGATATAATCATGTTCCATAGTCTTAATTGTCTGAAACTTGAAACTTGAAACTTTTTATTTACTTAAACGCCTATTTTTACAAAACATTCATATTCAATGGCGTTGTACAGCAATAATAATGATAATAAAATACTTCTAATAAAATACTATTAAGAAATGGTTACAGTGTTATGAGCAGATATTAAGAAATTATTGAATGATTTTAAATGAAAATGAGTAAAATGGTATCAATTCAAGTTAAGAACATATCATGCATCAAGAATAATAAAAAATTGATAAAAGATTACTAATATCACATTGAAAAATCACTTTTAGAATATACTACATATCACAGCTATGAATTTTAAAATTTCAAACGTCATTTGCGCTTTTTCACTTTTGAATTAAAACAATTTGAAATAGTCCCTGAACATGTGGGTCTTAAGATTTCTCTTGAATGCTTCTATAGTGTTACTGTTTCTGATTTCTGTCGGTAATTGATTATACAGTTTAGGTCCAATGTAACTAAAGCTACGGTCTGCGAAAGATTTTCTCTTATTGAAAGGAACATTGTAACAATTGTCAACACATTCTGATGATCTGAGAACTCGTTTTGCAGTCTGATCAATGTTGAAGAATCATAATAGCATTTCCTTCTGATTGACTTACGAGGAACCTTTTGTCATTGCAAAACTTAAACGATTCGAAAAGGTAACGCCATTAAACGTAAAATCCGGTTCATTTAAGCAGAATATGTGTATTTTGTCAACACAAATAGAAACGTAGATAAACTACTAGTTCATAAGCTTAATAAGTCTATATTTGTAGTATATTCTTTTATTTTCAAAATACTTTAATATCACTGATTAATTATAATTAATATAAATGTATGATGAAAAGACGACATATGATTGTCTTTCTATTAATGCTCGTTTGTATATATTGGATTTAGAGGATTTTGTTTTTCCATTTTTGTTGCAATATTCATTTTACGCTGTTTTGTGCTATTAAAGTTTATTGCCGTATTGCTATTTTATCAAATGATATATTTGATGTTTTCTTTTGTATACAGATTTTACATTTTTCTGGTATGAATTGTACATCACAAATGAATAAATACTTATTAAAAAAAACTCTTTGTAGAGGAGATACTTCATGCTGTTATTAATTCTGTGTGTGTTAATAAATGTCTTGTTTGCATATTCTCTGTAATTGTCAGTGCCTCTAAACATTACAAAAAGTATAATCACAACCAGCCCAAATGATTATCAGAATAAAATGATACTAGTATTTTCACTGTCATGCGTTTTGTGTTATATGTTATATTTTCAAACACATACTTTGTGGACTCTCTATTTATTTATTCGATGACCCTCTATGTGCATTAACGGTGCGGCATGGCTGTATCAGGGGTTGCATTCTTTTAACTTTGTTTTCCCTTTTTTCCCATTTTACAATTAATAAAGAATCGACATGTCTTGTTATATAAAATTATCCTTAGATTACAATTTTGAATCATGAATCGATTTTCTATAGAAATAAACTTGATCTTAATGGCATATTATGATTTAAATACCATTACATTAATGGCTTTATTCAAAATATTTTTTAATAACAAGGAATTGCATGATCATGAACATGAATTATATCATTTGATAATACATTATTATAAAATTGTTCATAAAGCAAGAACAAAACAAGCAAATATTTATAAATTTTATTTAAGTATAACATAATATAATAGTTGGTGCATTTTATTGTCTATAATTATTGTGTATGTTTTCTTATGTAAATTTGTATTAAATATATATAAATATTTTCCCAGCACCTGACACTAGGAATTGTTCTACTGATTGTTAAAATAATAATGTCCTGCTCTGTTGAAATAATTATGAAATAAAAATTATGAAAAACAAGATCAAAAAAGCAAGAATGATTTCCAATGCACGCATCTCTTAACACAGAACCACTTGCAAGGAGCCTAACAGGACACCAAACAGGACATGGCACAAAAGCTAAATTACTTTGTAAACTGGCCAGTTAGCTTAAACAGTTACAATTTTACCGATACAAATGAAAACCTTAATGCACTAATAAATAATCTCAAAATTCAAGCATCACCTTCCATCCATGATATCTTAAAATAGTTTGATATGAGTGAGACTTAAACAAGTGTTTGAGCATCACACTAAATACCGTATGATATACTGAACATGATGCTTGAATAATCCATAGCCGTTTCACCAGCCGAAATGCAGTATATGACGTATAATTCATCTCGTCACACTCATTCTATATGATCATGAATGGAAAATATAGAAATCGAATAAAAATGGTTTTCTACTTTGTGATCATGATTTCATTTCTGCAAATGTCGAACACTGTGGTAAGTTAAATCAGTTTGATATCTCCGGCTAGTGAAATCGGAAGAAGGGTGTGCAAATTGCATTGTTTGTCCGTTCCCCAGACAATATCTTTTGTCCTTTTGTCTGGATACATATCTGAAATGGCAGGTAAGATTGAATTATACAATCATTTATTACTATATAAGCTCTTTATAATTCCAGTTATTCTTAATCTCGACTTTAATACAATCAGTCATGCATTGTGTTAAAACAATTGCAAATTTATCTCTATAACTGCTTTAAACGAAAGGTTTACAAGGCTATCTTGCAACGATTTCTGTTTAATTACAAAAAAGATAAATTTATCTGCTCTACACGTCAGTAACGACAAAGTTTGGTATGCGTATTTAAATCAATATAGAATAATTAAGTTGGTAGAATCGTGATAGTTAAACAACCCATCAAAATTGTTTGTGCTACCAAGTATGCCCTTCCGTATCCAGTGTAGATTGTTCAACTCAAACTCTGTTCTGGTCAGAATCCGGCTTCGAATGTGCACTGACTTATGAAAATCCTGAGATTCGAAACTGATCTCATAAAAAGTTGTTTGACCACGAGACCAGATTTTGAAATCAAGAGAAAAGAATGTCATAACTTACTGTATTTAGTTCTCTCTTTTCTCATGTGATTGACTCAAAACGATCAAAGGTTGTGTATGATTATGACTTACATCACGCAAAGAATAACTCTGTAATGTTTTTCGAGAATAATATTCTTGTACTTATGATTTAGTTATAAAACTGTTTATTTTTACTCTTACCTTTATTACTTAAAATTTATTCCATACGTCTGTCTTTTATCATTTAATAAATAACGTATTGAAGTTTCATATTAAAAAATAAGAATTAAAACATAATTCAAAAGAAATAAAATTAAACAAGAAAATTATGATTCAAGATAAGGATATTCACTTGATTGGGTACAAGAGATCAGAACCTTATCATGCGCAATTTTGAATTAAAACTGATTAAAAACAAGAGGGCTATGATGGCCCTGAAGTCGCTCACCTGTATATAGGTCCTCGTAGCGAGGCCATTTTAAATCCTAGGGCTTTTATTTGAAACAACTTGGTAGACACCCATTGGAAGATGTTTCATGCTAAACATCTAAGGTCTAGATGGTCAAGATTTTTTCTTTACACACATAGTTAAAACAATGACACACCTGGGGCGGGGCCAGTTTGGAACCAATGGCTTTTATTTTTGAACAATCTTTGTAGACACTTACTAGAAATGTTTCATGCTCAATATCTCTAGCTTTTCGGATTTTTCGAAGAAGATTTTTCAGTTTTTGCTATACACATATAAGGAAATATCAATGACCCCCGGGGTGGGGCCAATTTTGACCCCAGGGCTTTTATTTGAACAAACTTCGAGACACTTACTAGAAAATAGTTCATGCTTAATATCTAAACTCTAGCTATTTAAGTTTTTTCAAAGAACATTTTTTAAGTTTTTGTTATACACATATTAGGAAAGTGTATGACCCCCGGGGCGGGGCAAATTTTGACCCCTGGGTTTTATTTGAATAAACTTGTTAGACACTCACTAGAAGATATTTCATGCTTAGTATCTAAACTCTAGCTAATTGGTTTTTTTTTCAAAGAAGATTTTTTAAGATTTTGCTATACACGTATAAGGAAAATCAATGACACCCGGGGCGGGGCCAATTTTGACCCAAGGGCTCTTATTTGAAAAACTTGGTAGACATCCATTTGAACATGTTTCATGCTTAATATCTAAGCTCTAGCTCTTTGGGTTCTTAAAAGAAGATTTTTAAGTTTTTACGATATGCATATAGGAAAACTCAATGACCCCCTTGGGCGGGGCCAATTTTGACCCCAGGGCTTTTATTGAAACAAACTTGGTAGACACTTACTAGAAGATCTTTCATGCTAACTATCTAAGCGCTAGCTCTTTGGGTTTTTTAGAAAAAGATATTTAAAGATTTTCCTTTCAGTTACCATTGCAACCAGAGTTCTGCATGGAATGGAATTCTTTGAACAATTTTGTTAAGGCTTCACACAAGGAACATCCCTGTGACGTTTCATTATGACCTGCCTTATTGTTTCAGAGGAGGTGTCGTTTTAAAAGTGTGAACGGACAACGGACGACATACGACGGACGACAGACGACGAGTGATCCTTATAGCTCACCCTGAGCATATGCTCATGTGAGCTAATAGAGACAATAACGTACAATAATATGCTACACATTTTAAACTCGGCAAAAAATGCTTTTTAAATAGACCTACTTTTCATCAGAGCTTATGGTGATGTTCAGGAAATAATACAAACAATGATATTACACACATAACGAGAAATAGTAAGTGTTCCTTTTTTCTCAGGAAAGGAGAATTTATTAATACTTTTTGATGAATTTTCTATTTATTCATATAAATATAACATTGAAGAAATATGTTTAATTATTTGCACACTGTTATGATTTATTTTATCGTAAATCTGATAGAAAGTATAATTTAGCATTAAATACACATAAATATACGAAAATAGATTAAACTGACAATTTTATCGTTACATACAATTTACATTTACAAAGATACGTGTTTCAATTAAAAGAGTAATATAACGAGAAATATCGATGATTCATCCGTCTCTTAAATGTAAATTATTTACTTTGTGTAACATAATGCACCATTTTGAGAATATATTATCAAGGATTTGGAGTATGTGCAGTAATCAATATATCTGAAACGTTGAAAATGGAAAAAATATGGAAGTAAGTGCAGAAAAAAATACCATAGCTTATTACTTAGTGTCATAACGAGAAGTGCATATGACATGAAAAGCTCTACTTAAACAAGACAACAATAGATCTGTTACGAAATGGCTGATTGGTTCACTGATAAAAATACGAATTTTCACCATTATAGGCTTACTTTAGGTTCCGAAGGAAAACATCTGGTTGGGTGCGGATGAGATAATTGGCTTTTTCATTTCGTTTCGTACAGCAGATTCTCAATTATTTCTCGATTGAATATGCGTTAAATTTAACTCGATCATTTTCATTAATTGTTTTATACAGAAAATGTTGGTCTTTGATCTTCCAAATAATGGAGTATCATTTCACTGTTTTACAGGTTGAACAGAAGACAGATATACCTTTCTTTGGGGTTAGTTACATCTTTAAGTATTATTTACCTGCAAACATACGTATCAAATCGCACAGATTTACAAGCAGAAACACCTTTGTGAGTATCGATTTTGTTGCTGTGTTTGGAAAATATGTCTTACGTATTTCAGAATAATGTTTACAGATTACAAGAAAATTATACTCACTTTCAACAGCATATATTGTACAGTGACGTAAAACCAAATGAAACAAACACACATTCAAAATGTCATGTTGTGTCCAAATCGTTAGCAATACTACTGGTATTTTCTTCAACATATGCCATATTTCGAATGAAATTATTGTGAAAAACACTTTCATACAATAAGTATTGTTTTTTATATCTTGACATTCCTGGTACAAAGTAACTCCCGGTGTAAAGTACCTTGAAGATAGATGTGTATTCTGTTAAAAAGACAAATTGTACATTGCTTTAAAGTCTAATCAGAAATAATTGTAACTGTAACGTTGTAACAATTTGAAACAGAAGTAAATCCTTGATAACAAATATTGTCTGCAATATCAAAAACTTTATTATCAATGTAAACTGTCTTGACTTTCGAGATTTGCGTGTTTCACTTTTGGTCTTCTTAATTATATTGATTTTAGACTCCATTGTTTTGAATATGTGTATACATGGTTAAAGTGATCCTGGAAGATATTACGATAGGTAGAAAATATAACCATATCATCCGCAAAAAACAAACATAAATACACATTATTGATAAAAAATTATAATCTGATAAATTATTGAGGTTACTATTTTTGCACTCATCATTTATAAATAATAAACCCAACGCTGAAAGTGGCTCTCCTTGGTTCAATACAATAGATATTTTGCACATGACAAACTCTTTTCATATACATGTAATGCCTTTATCATGTTCAAATTTTTACTACTTATTCCCTCTTTTAAAAGAATTCAACAAATCGAAATATGCTCCTCTATTCTAAGTTTCGAAGTCTTTTCCGTAGCTTATTAATTCATGACACAAATGCTTTTAATCATGCATCACCTTTTCGATAATTCAATGTTATGAAATTGATCTTTTTTTCATATGTTATACCAATACACATCTGAATTAATGGATCTCGGTCCATTGACTGCGGTCTACTGGCCTAAAATATCTAATTTGAAATCCTACGAAGATCAAGTTGATCACGAAAAAAAGAAAAACCAAAAGGATAATAAAGAATAGTACTAAAAGTTCAATCGATGATCTATTGTAAAGAAAGTTAAATCGATGATCTATTGTAAAACAAGTATTATCAAAGTATTGCAGGCAATACGATAGTTTAAGTTTTTAAATTGTCTTTTTCGTAGTGATGTGTTTAGTTTCCTCGCCAAATATGGAATAAGTTTTATACAACAGAAAAGAATAATATCAAATTTTCTCATGATGAATATGCATAACTATTGTTTAAACTTTTTGTCTATTTTAAGTTATTTTTTTGTAAAAGTTCATTTTAAGGGATCTCAGAAAACAGTTTTTTTAGGAACGGGACAGATGGAGGGAAAATATTTAATCCTCCCTGTGGTTGTAACCAGAATGTGGCATTTTAATAGAAATTCTCTTAAACTAAAGAGGAGATAACTCTTAAGATAAAATGCTCAACTTATGAACATTGTCATATATGATGTAGGTGATTACAAAGAACAATAATCTTTTATCAAAAGTAGATTTATAGTAACAAAAAGGAAAAAAAGAAAAAGAATGTGACATTGATTTATAAAAGACAGCTGATAGTTAAAAAATATATATATATTCAAAGTTCAAGATGAAAGTAATTATGGAAAAAATGATACACAAAACTGACAACCTTTTTTTCCTGAAAAGTTCGAAAAAATGATAATTCTGAACATTGTCACATATCATTTGGTTTGTATCAGAAACATATATTTGGAGTTTGAAGTAGTTGCCTTAAGACATAACTTGGTTATAGTGATTAAAATGTAACTGCGTAAAATCTCGATGCGGTCGCCGGTACTGTACGAGTAGGATAGCTCTCAATGTACTAGTATAGTGAAGCTTAAAATGACGTGCATAATCTCCATACTCCCGTCTATCTATATTTCAAGTTTCACTAAACATTTTCAGATCTTTAAGAGTTATAACAAATACTGCTATATGTGCATATTTAGAGTCCATGTGTTGCCATAGCAAGCACATTTTTCAACTAAGGAAAAAAAGACTCAAGACTGCCATCTACCAATGGTTTCTTTAAAAAAACGTTCAGTCCTGTTTGTGTCATCACATGATCCAGTTTTTATAGACGTTTATCGTGCTTCTTTTCCTATTATAACCGAATGATATAAGAGTTTTGTTCTTTTTTGTTCTGTTTACAGTAAGATGGCCCCTTATCCGTCGCCGGTAGTGCGGGCAGACAGACAGACGAATCGAAACCAGTAGGAGACTAATACATTAATTCGATATGCAATTAATATAATATATCAGCGATCTATAAAGTTATAATAAAAATCTGTTCTGCACCTTAATACGACAAAAAATAGAAGAAAAAAAAAATATAAGAATATATTATTTAATGCTTAACCGTTTATGTTCGCAAAACAAAATAAAAAATAAGACATTCTTACTTTGGTCTATAGTTTGATAATAATAATGAAAACAAATGACTGACTTTATGCAATCATATAACCTTCAAGTGCGCACCACTTTTATTCTTTTTCATATACGTGTTTGTTGACAGGTTAAAATCGCTTGATGTATATAAAGATCCAATGGAAATTTACAAATCGGGCGTAAGATGCAATGACAGTTTGTTAGCTGCTGAAGCCACACGTTCTGCTATTTATATACAAGGTAAATAAATTGATATATGTGAAGTCCCTTTTTACGTTTGTTTTGTATTTATTTCCCGTTCCAGAATATGTTTGATTTTTAGCAATATGCCTGCTTATTGCATTTGGGCACATTCATTTTGAATATAAAAATGGCTTAAATGTATATACTAGTATATATTGCATAAACAATTTTGTCAAAACGAAATATGTATCTCTTCTTGTTTTGAAAGGCTTATGCACAATAATTTGAATTCAGGTAGAAGCTCGGTCGTTCTCGGGGAGTATTTTTGCTTTTCTGTTGTACTGTACAATGGATATGGCAATCCCAAAGTCATAGGAGGCGATCATTTGCGAGCAAGACTATTCAACGAGCGCCTAAAAGCATACACACCTGGTACTATTTTAGACCATGGTAATGGCACATACACTGCAACAGTTCAAGCTTTATGGACTGGGCAAGCGCAGTTACAAGTGGAAGTGTTGTATACAAAAGAAATCATGACCACTGCTGTTCGTTTAAGGAGTACATGGGTATAAATGTCTTATGAATACATGGTTATCTGTGTTCCTTTTATAATAATTATCCTGAAAATACAGTATTGCTGGTAATATTTAAACTAATGGGGGAAATATCATACATAATCATCATGATTATTATGTCATAATCATTATCATCTAAGTCATCTCCAATCAGAAAAGCGGAATTCCTATCATTTTAATAAACATCAATTTTAACAATTGTATAAGTATAAAATAAGGAAGAGCTTTATTATTAAAAAATAAACACACCAGAAATCGAGTACTTATGTTGGCGCTCTAGGCGACAATATGCATGCATTGGTCTTTTCCCATTTATTTCACATAACGAAGTCTAATTCAGCTGAATTTGTATAACTGACCTTTGTATAATTGCCTTGTCTAGCTTTAAATATGGAATCGTTCTTTCCCTGTATACAAACAACAAACACATAAATTTAACTACCAACAATATACAGTTTAGTCATACAGCACAGATATGTACACAGGCCCTGTATTGTGAAAACTGACAATTGTTGATTACACTGTTAATTGTTGATTACGAAGTTTGTCATTAGTGGAGATATTGTTAATCGTTTGTAAGGTCTCTAGGAAAGCAAACCTCCGGGATAAAGTAAATATATATAGGCGTCAAAAATTCAAAATTAATATTGTAGGACTTTGACGGTATCAAAGCAATATATATGAACAAGAACCTCTCTGACAGTACAGCATGTGGTCCGGACTATAAAACAGTTCTAAGACATTCTAAAATATCCAAACTATGCGATTTTTCATACTGGAACAAAACACAACCTTGGTTTTGTGGGAAACCTAAAGGTAAACTTTCATGTAAACATTGGATAACAATCACTCGAGACTGGGCGAATTTCACCATAGGAATCAGCCTGTGTGAAGAAGAATTGTGCAAAAGGTATATTAAAAATTATCAAATAGCGCAAAACTCTCAAAAATTCTTCAAAAATTTCATTTCAACATGAATAGACTCGTTCATGAAAAATACTTGTATTTTGAATTAATAAATGATATTCATACCTATTAACTTGCAAAATCTCTCGGAAAAAGAAATATAGAATAATGAGTATTCAAACGACGATCAAACGTATTTTCCATTTTAAGTAAACGAAAGTGACACATTAATTTATTAACCGTTTGTATTGGTGTTGCTGAATTCTGTTGATGACAAATCTATTGCTTTTTTTAACATGTTGTATTAAATAGACCTAGACCCTGACCATAGACTCTAAGTGGTAGATACTTTGCTATTAATACAGAGTAAAAACCGCATTCACAACGTTCAATTTGACCAAACTCTGAAGAATGAACAGCTTAACATTTCTTTCATAATATCCTAAAATTTGACAACAGACAATTTGATTATTCCAAATAAAAATGAAGCAGGTTAGGTGTTTTCTTTTCCTGATTATTATGTTTGCAGTATATGAGGCAACGTGTAAACACACTTTAGACTACAACTAAATAATATAAACACTAGATCTTTTTTTTATCTTTTCATAATCTATTGTTAGAAACACGAATTTCGGAAATACAATATATGCTTATATATCCTGTGACTATATTTTTATGGTTTACATCATAAATTTGATGCTCAAATGAAGATTTATCAATTTTGTTTGTTCAAAAACAGCGTTATTTGTAATTACAAAATATACATTTTATGTAAATAAAGGAAGGTAATTAGAAATTTATTTTCTACAAAGCCAAGTATTTCAATAAGAAATTAATGCATATATTTTAATGATTACTCCTTTAAAACATTTGCAGTACATGTTTAACATATTCTTGCATGTTTTGAAATAGTTTTAGATGAATCAATATATACATATTGAATTTCACTACAGTATCATTAACATTCAATTAAAACCATAACTAACTGCAATAATTTTGATGTTAGCTTTTCACTAATCTTCCGCTTTCTGAACCTCTATTAAATGGATATATCCTTTTTGCCCGGACAATTATGAATTTTATAGATGTCAAAATCAAAAGATTAAATTCTAGCCAAAAGTATAGACCTAGTCAGACTTTGCAGATGTAATTGTTTGCGTGGCTGTATACTAGTATAGAGTGATTGTTAAGATATTGAAAATCTCATAGCATTTCTAGAATTCCTATGTTCACAATGCTTAATTTTAAAATGATAGGCATGCCCACATGTGACTTACAAGTGAACTCTTTCCACTGGTTATCGTAACTGCAATCTCTTTTTTCATAAGTGAATTAACTTTGTGTAAATCAAAATATAACCATGACCATTTTGTAGCATATCATAATTTGAGTTTTAAAGTTAGCCTTCATATTCCATGCCATTTGATTATTGTCTGCACTGCTCACTGTTAAGTCAGAAGATATGAAAAAAGTATCCCGAAAACATGATAAGCTTGTCCTAGTTGAATGATTGAGTCAATTCAATATAATTTCAACTTGGTTTCTATTCTGTTACCTATGTTTATTGTGCATTTATTTACATTAATTCCATTATATGCCATATACACATAAACATAAACTGTAGCTCTATAGTTTGGTGAACCCTTTTATAATGTATCTTTTATTATATTCTACTTTTGATTTCATTCTGATGTTAGTTATTCTTCGTTATATTTAGTCTGATCTTAAATATCCAGCTATATTGAAAGGTATCTTTTCAAATTCATAATTTTGTTTAATTGTTGTCTTTGGATTAGGTAACAATTTTATCTTATTAAAGTTTTTTGAGTGTGTCTTAAAAGTGTATATTTTTTTATTCTATGCTTTTGAGTGGATTACAGATTTAACTGCGTGAAATGTATATTTGGTATTTTTACAGTGAAAATTATCAAAATATAATTTCACACTTTTCAAAGAACAGACTACTTTTAAAGATTTCCCCATGTGTTACCTCACTTTAATTTTCGTTAACAATTTGGACAAATTCAGGCCTCGATTTCTGTCAACAATAATTTATTGTCCGTAACAATTCTCGAATATGTTTTCTTCCTTATGAATTGATGTAAAATTATCAAAACCATATGAAAACATGATAATAGAATATCCTTATAACTACTTCCGCTACTTCGTGGAAATAAGCCCGGCATGGTGTCCATTTTTTTATCTTCTTATCTTCTAGAATTGTTTGTCAACAATAATTTATTATCCGTAACAATTCTCGAATATGTCTTCTTTCTTATGAATTGATGTAAAATTATCAAACCCATATGAAAACATTACTATAGAATAGCCTAGTATCTACTTTCGCTTTTTGCGAAATAAGCCCGGCATGGTGTAGATGTTTTCTTATCTTTTAAATTTTTTTTTTTTAATTTTTAAAGCAAGCGATCATGCGTATGTCTTGTTTAAAATAGATAATGTCATCGCCATTTAACGTTTTTTTTTAATTTCTTTCTAGCACTAGACTTCAAGTATTTATGAGAAGTCATCTGAAATTGAGGCTTCCAGTGAGGAAAACAGATTTTGATTTTCAAGTTTATATTAAGAACAATCATTTAAACTTGTGCGTAGTATAAGCATAATGTGAAAAGGAAATTTGTTTGTTGCGCAAGATGTTATTTCATTCCATCTTTTGAATGGCTACGTTACTCGTAATAATACATGTAGTTTTTGTAAATGGTAAAACAATTTTCTTTTACACAAAAACAAAAAACAATGTTCTTAATATCTATGAACCCCGTAGCATGAAGCAGACAAAATTACAGTTGAAATAAAAAACATAATATGAATAAAAATGTAGGTAAGAAATGTATGTGTCATGAATATTCCATTGGTATATGTTTCATAATGTTATGTTTCATGAATGTTTCATTGCTATATGTTTCATGAATGTCCCATTGATATATGTTTCTTGAATGTTGCATTGATATATGTTTCATGAATGTTCAATTGGTACATGTTTCATGAATGAATGGAACATGCAGAATGCACAAAATACTTACGCAACTTTTAATTATGTTTCGGAAATAACGGACACATTCTATGCTAATTCAATTGAGAATCAACTGTCAGATTATTGAAACAATATTCTTTTACTGTTTTAAAATTTTATAAATGATATTTAATAGCTTACACCCTTAAGACAGCCAGTGGAAAACATGATTGAAGCATAGTCATTTTTGGCTTAACTTAAATAAAGTTCAAGAATTGTTTTGATTACATGGTTTAAAGCATGTTTATTCATTTTTCAAGTGATCGTACCACGACCATACCGTCGAACATAACTGTACAAACACTTCCAAGAACGGATAATAAATACAATACAACGTTTCAAGAAGCAAATATCCCTTGTTCTTTTTACAACAATACTAAATTATGGTTCAAAGAAAAGCCTACAGGATATTTCTACAACGACAGGTGGATTCTTTTACATTGTAAAGGTAAGATATCATTTGTGAAAAAGACACATACAATGTAGTTGAACTGGAGAAAAGTGTGACATTTCAAAATGTTTGTAATATTGTACATACCTTTATTCTTAAGACTTCAACCATTGTTTATTCATGTAATTACAGATATTTTGAAACTCTGTTTTGCTTATTAGTGGCGTTTGTTTCTGTCCGAATAAAAAAACAACAACATTATTTCTATTAGATGATTTTTCTGTTTATAACATAGGGCTTGGTATGCATGATGCAGGGATGATATAAATCGTGTATATATACATGTATATATATATATTTAAAAGGGGGGTGTAAATGTATTATCGAAGGGTGATACCAATCTTTAGTTTTTATCTGCTATCAAAACACAAAAATAATTTAGATATATTATTATTTAATTTATTGTTACATATGTTATGTGTTTTGATTAATGAATTTTAACAGGTATTGAACACTTTGATGGACAATGCTTAAAGAATAAAACCATTGTGTTTTGGGGAGACTCTACCCTCTTTCAGTGGTGTACATATTTAATGGAGAAACTCTGCCCTGGCGGTAAATATGCTTTCTCCGAATGGAGTAAAATAAAAAAATGCACCATCTGTAAATACAGCATAAACATATGTTTTCTCGGACATAATATTCCAGTATTTCAATTCTGGAAGGAAGATTTGCATAGTTTTTTTATAAACAATTCCTTTGAAGATTTCATCAATGCAAGATCAGGCAAAGGAAAAGATCTCCTGCTAGTGCTTCATTTGTATCTTCATATCCAGCAGTATCATTTTGATTATTATGCTGCACATATTTTGGAATTAAGAAGAAGTTTAGTGCGGATATTTGAAACGAAACCCAATATCAAAGTGTTTATTAAATTACCACATACACATCGAAGAATGGATGTTGGAGAGTGGCAACTCAGAGTAAATGATTATATTGGATTAGTTTACTCCAATATTTTGCGCCAAGCTTTTAAAGGGCTTTATAATAAAGTAACTGTTCTAGACCAGATGGATGCAACCGTTGCTAAACGTAGCTTGGATATACATCCATCAAGAGCGTTAGTTGGCGAAATGGTTAATCAATTTTTAAGTTATATATGTATTTGCTAATAATAAAAAATGATACACAAAATGTTTATTAATTCTAATTACCCAAGAGAATAATTTATACCAAACTATATCCTTATATCACCTCATCAAAAAGAACGTTGTCGCAATTGTACTTTCGGTGCTTTTTCTTATAATTATTAGTAATCTAATAATATACAAACACTAGGTCATACAGTCACGAATAAAGTATTGCATGAATGGTCAGAAATTCACAATTGTTTATGTGAAAGAGACGCTTTTAGGCGTGCATTTCATCATGAATATCGGGAAAAAAGTGATCCATCGGAAGTAAAAAAACAGCAAAATTAAATGAAAATAAAACAATGTGGCAAAGGTACATATATTTTCCCCATGAGTTTTAATAGTGTACAAAACACCACATATGAATTTGTCACAGTGACCAAAATCTAATCATAAATGTTCTGCTGTAGAGTGAAATGCTGATCTATATTATCAAGATATAAATCCCATGCCAGTTCACTTTTTATTTAAAACATGAAATGTGATCAAATGCTGCACAATCTTAAAATGCAAGTACTAATGTTGCTGCAATGCAGTAATTGAGAAGTTCCTCGCAAATAAGTGTGCTCATTACAGATACTTTACCAAATCATTCCTACATAAAGGTCATTTTCTATTCATATAAGTAATATTGTACATTATTCCGGACATTTTGTAAATCATTTAATTTTGCATATTTATTCTTATCGTATGCACTGTCCATGAGAGAGGGGCAAGATATTAATTTTTTGAAAATATGCTTTCACTTATGCCTTCCTGGTAAGTATTTATTTGTTTATTTGTTTCCATAGCACGACACGAATGACCGACAGTTTTGTTTTGTTTCAGACCCGCTTAACTCAACCTACTTCTTCGATACATAGATATTCAGACTAACATAATGTTAGCATAATGTTAACATACTTCTTCGATACATAGATATTCAGAATAACATAATGTTAAGGTCATCTATTTATAACTTTCGAATTCATGTACAGCAATGAAATACATTCATAACACAATGTGTACTACTAAGCGTGAAATCTGTTGTTCCCGTTCTCATTCATTAATATGATATGCTGCGAATAAACGAAGTGGAAACCAATTTATGACTTTACATAACAGCAATCGGAATGACATCTTTATTCCGAATTTATTCGAAGGGAAAAATTGATAAAATTCGGGTCCTTGGGCAAAAACACAAAATAGAAACTGTCACAAGAAGATGCATAATATCATGTTTTAAACATGGGCAATTTATATACTCTGATCACACAGATTTTTCAGATATGTATCATATAGAATTGTATGTATCGTAAGATACATGAATATAGTTTCTTAAACAATATTTGTTCTTTTAGAATAATCACTATAATATTCTTAACTAAAAATATATTTACAATAACACTTTTATCAATTGTCCGTTGGAAAATGGAAATATCATTATGTTCCACAGTATGTCAATGTCATATTTTTCTTATGAATGTTGAAGCATCAGAGTAGCATTTCCTTCTGATCTGGCCGTCTTTTCAGGGAATTATGAGGAAAATTTTGTCATTGATTAGCCTTTAACGATTTGATATGTTATTGCATTCAAGCGTAAAATATTTCATTTATGCCGAATATTCTTATTTCGTCAACACAAAGAGAAACATTGATCATTAGTTCTAAAAAAGTTCATAGCTTAGTCAGTCTAAAATTGTAATTTTTTATTATTTTAAAATACTTGAATACCAATCAATATAAAATATAAGTATAGTTAATGTAAATGTATTATAAAAAAAACGACGTATGATATCCTTTCTTTTAATGTACGTTTGTTTATGTTGGATGTATAGATTTTTTTTTCAACTTTGTTACAATGTTAGTGCTATCAAATATTTTTGCCATTGTTATATTTTAATCACTTTGATGTTTTCTTTTGTACACAGACTTAAATTACAATTTTCATAAATTGTACATCACAAATGAAGAAAATACAAAATAATTAAAAATATAAATTGTAAATGGAGGAGATGTGTTTATGTTATTAATTTTATGTGTCTTTATAAATGATTTTTTGCTTATTCTCATATTCTCTGTAATTGTAATTACTTCTTAACAGTACAATAGGTAAAATAAATCACAATAAGCCCAAATGATCATCAGATTAGGAAAAAATAAAATTTCCCTTATAATGTATATTCGTTAAAAATATTATATTTAGAAACACACATTTTTATGACCTAATTTTAAGCTCTGTGACCTTAAGGGTACCATACCGGTGGGGCTTGATTGTATCGGGCTGCATTCTTGAAACATTGCTTTGCCTCTTGAATTCAAGATTTTGCATCACGTATTGATTTTCTTTAGAAAAAAACTTGTTTCTTTATATATTAAAAACACCGATGAACATATTATGATTTAATTGCCATAACAATAATGGCTTTATTCAAAGAATTTTTAAATAACAAGGAATTGCATGATCATAATATTATGTATTACTAAATTACGCAAGCACTATTAAGTGTTGAGAATTGAGTACCGCTCAAGCCAGTGCTAGGGGGCGCGGGGGATGTTGCACTTAATCATCATCCCTCATGTACAGACTCAATTAAACCGAGCCTGCAATTCTCTTGTAGTTTTGTTGTGATTAATGCCTCCGAGGGATCACTTTGTTTCCAGATTTTCATAAAGCAACAACAAAACAAGCAAATATTTCACAATTGCAATAACTATTTCATTACATGATAGTCGGTCACTTTATCGTCAATACATATTGAATATTTAATGAAATATTGATCAAGCAAGTATGTGCATGTTTCTTATATCACCGTGTATATCCAGTAACGCAGGAATGTGCAAATAACGCAGGAATTGTGCGAAAGTTAAGCAAAATTGTGTTAATAAGTGGCTAAAACGACCACCGCGATAAGTAAATGGACTAATATTTTTATTTTACATCAAATTGAAAGAAGTGAGTGAGCGCATACGGTTGCTGAGACATTATATTTTACACCTCATCAAAAATATTTCCATAAAAATATTTTTTTACAAGATCATTCGTGAAAATGACTACCTGACTAGCGTTTTGATGGTAAGTTTTAGTTGCTTTGATATCGTTATATACAATAACGTACATATTACTTTATGATTTTTTATATTCGATGTATTGAGATGTCTACTCGTGTCATAATACACTTAATTTAGAAGATAAAACGTTATCGAGACTATTTTACAAAGAACCGCCGAAATTCGCGAATGAAGCACTGAAGCAACGGCGGTAATCTAATTAAAAGTAGCTTCATCCAATTTTATCAGCTTACTTATATTGTTATACGACAATTGTAGTTTGATAAATGTCTTAGGTATACAGGATATGAACAAAATAAAGTTTTAAATGTGTTAAATGTACATATTTATATGACAAAATAGAAAAGTCACCTTCATAACGGTAATCAGAATGTCTTTCTCACGAATGATCTAAATAAATAAACATATTCCTGTAAAAATTGTAATGCTGGTTAAAGTATAATTTCGTAGCAATCGTATGCGCTAATTCATTTCTTTAAATTTGCCTTCCTGTGTTATTCGTTTTGGCAAAAGCGTTGCACAGATTCGGCGTTTCGGCGTTATTTTTACGTTAATTGGACATCCCTGCTTTACTGGATATGCACGGTGTGTATACATTTGTATTAAATCTATATAAACATTCTGCCAGCACATGACACTGGGGATTGTTCTACTGAGTGTTGAAATAATAATGTTCTGTTCAGTTAGAATAATTATAAAATAATAACTATAAAAAGCAAGATTAACAAACAAGAATGACATTCAATAAACCCAGCTCCTAACACACAACCACCAGCAAGGAGCCAAGCAGGACACAAAACAGGACAGGGTACTGATCTTGATAACTCTGTAAATCGGCCAGTTAGCTTGAACAGTAACAATACTACCAATAAAAATATTGATCATCGATTGAGAACCTTAATACACTAAAAAAGTAATCTCAAATTCCTATCCTAACCTCTTTCCATAATTTCTTATTAATAAGATAATTTAATATGAGTGTTGGAGCACCACACTAAATACTGTATGCCGGTATATACTTGTCAAGGCGCTTTTTGATAATCAAATGCTAAAATCTTGCCTTTTCTCCAGAAGAAATGCACTGTAAGACGTTTAATTCATCTCGTCACACAAATTCTTAATTGATCATGAATGAAAAATGAAATAATCGAATAAAAATATTTTTTCTACTTTGTGATCATGATTTCTGCAAATGTCCAACACTGTGGTAAGTTATATCAGTTTGATATCTCAAGCTTATAAAATCGGAAGAAGGGTGTGGTAATTGCATTGTTTGTCCGTTCCCCAGACAATTTTTTTTTGTCCTTTTGTCGGGATACATATCTGAAATGGCAGGTAAGATTGAACAATACAAGCATTTATTTTTGTATTAGCTCTTTATAATTCGAGTTATTCTTAAATTCGACTTTACTACAATCAGTCATGCAATGTGTTAACAATTGCAATATTATCTATATAAATGTTTTAAACGAAAGGTCAACAATGTTATCTTGAAAAGATTTCTTTATTCATTTCTAAACAAATCTAAGTGTCTTTAATTACAAAAAAAGATAAATGTGTCTACTCCACAATTAAGTAACGACAAAGTTCGGTATGCTTATAATAATTCATATAAAATAATTAAGTAAGTAGAATTGTGATAGTTAAACAACTTGTCATAAAGATCAAACTTTAATTTAATATATACATTTTTGTATGGTATAATTTCGTCTTGATATTTAGGATTCCATTCACTATCCAGAGTCAATTGTCATTAATTGCGTAAGGTATTGAAAGTTTCATATTAAAAATATAGAATAAAACATAATTCAAAAGGAATACAATTTAAACAAGAAAATTTAGACTTAAGGTAAGGATATTCACTTAAGTGGAACAAGAGATCAGAATCTTATCATGCGAAATGCCACTGGTAAAAATTAAAACTGATT